GGGGGGGGGGGGGGGGGGGGGGCCGGGGCCGAGATTGGGGGGATGGGAGCAAGGCGGCCGACGGAAGGCCGATGCCTCCGTTGCCCGGCCGAGATTGGGGGGTGGGGGCGAGGCAAGCGATGGAAGGCCGATGCCTCCGTCGCCTGGCTGGAGTGGCCGCGGGGGAGTCTGGAGTCGGGCGGCCGCTGGTGGGAGCCGCGGGTGCCCGGGCCGAGATTGGGGGGGCAAGGCGGGCGACAGAAGGCCGATGCCTCCGTCGCCCGGCCCTCTACAGAATCCACCCCCCAAACCTCCAGGTATTTCCCTCCTTAGAGCTGGCAACCCTACATTCCCCTCAGTGCCTGTTGGTAGGCAACTAAGCTTGGTCCTGTCACCTACTTTGGCCTTTGGGAGAAAACACATTGGGGCCAATCCTGATAGGGTTGCCAACTCCAGATGGGAAATTCCTGGAGACTTGAGGGATGGAGCCTGAAGAGGGTGAGGTTTGAGGAGGGGTGGGACCTCAGACAGGTACACTGCCATAGACTCCACCCTCCAAACCAGTCAGTCTCACATAGGGAACCATTGTTGCCAATCTCCAGGTGAGGGCTGGAGAGCACTCAGTATTACAACTGCTCTGCAGAAGGGAGGGCAGAAGTCAGCTGAAGTCAACGGGGCAGATAATGGTAGGTTGGTGGCTAGCTGGGAAGGAGATGGGGTTGCCAACTACATGCTGACAAATTCCTGGGGATTTGAGGGGTGGAGCCTGGAGAGGGTGGGGTTTGCAGAGGGGTGGGACCTCAGACAGGTAGAATGCCATAGACTCCACCCTCCAAACCAGCCATTTTGTCCTGGGTAACAATTGTTGCCAATCTCCAGGTGAGGGCTACAGATTACTCACAATTACAACTGCTCTTCAGGTAGCAGAGATCAGTTCCTCTGGAGAAAACAGTGGACTCTGTCATTATACCCTGCTGAGGTCACCACAGCAAATTGACACTGTTTGCCCAAAGCCAGAGCACTGCCCCAGAGCCTCTTTCTAGATCCCGTTGTATTGCTTTCACAACGGGCTTTACTGCTAGTTTTAAAATAAGTCATATTTAAACTAAAATCATATATAAAGTTATATTCAAAATAAATTATATTTAACTTTATTTGATAGGGCTTACTCCTGTGCATTTGTTTGCAGGGGCTTTTAAATTAGCTTTAGCTCCTGTTTCCGTTGCTTGCTTTGCTTCACAAGAGTCATAGTTAATATTGGTTTAATAGAATGCAAGGAAACGTAGCTGGATTACTCAGGTTTTTTTGGATGAATTAGTTTAAGTGGCCAATAGAAAGTAATATGGGAAGGAAAAGGGCACTGCCTTTTGAAGCTCACTTGCCTATTTGTAAGCAGAGCAGAATGGAATAATTTTTTAAAAACTGCTCACCAACAATAATCACTAATAGAGTTGGTTGTTTGTCTTATGAAGCTCCAGCCCCTTGCAGTTCCAACATGCTCTCAGTTTGTTCTCAGCAGGACCCTCTGATCAACTTGGAAGCCTTTGATGAGATTTTGGGGGGGGGGGGGATGATGCCACAAAAAGGAGATCAGAGACACTATCTTTGCTAGCATCCCAAACTCTTTTAATCTCGGAAATGCTACAAAAAATATTTGAAAAGATTGACCTTCTTACGGATGAGATTTCACTCCCGTCTCTTTAGAAAAATGGCTTTTACAGGAAATGGCTGGTCGTAGGCCTCCCCTAGGCTAACATCTCTTTTTAAGAAAGCCTCTCTCTTACGCTGAGATCCAGTGTCATGGGCTGGAGGATGGGTTGCCAGTTTCCAGGTGGTGACTGGAGATCTCCCAGAATTACAACTGGTCTCCTGGTTGCAGAGATCAGTTCCCCTGGATGAAATTGATGCTTTGGAAAGTGGATTCTGTGGCGTTATACCCTACTGGGGTCCTTCCCCTCCCTAAACCCCTCCCTTCCCCAGGCTCCATCCCCCAAATCTCCAGGTATTTCCCAACCCAGAGGTGGCAACCCTAGATGGAGGCCAAGTGTTTGCTTCATGGGCGTGCACATACCTCAACCACACTCCCTCTTTGTAAAATTGCCTTGTCAGGTACGCGTACAAAAGGGGTGTGCCTCAGTACAATAGGAGGTGTGAAACCAAACATCACTGGCTGCTAGAGAAAAGGCTTTAGATGCCACCTGATTCAAGTCAACATTCACCGGGCTCCATCCAGATACTGACCACAGAAAGCTGCCTTATACTGAGTCAGGCTGTTGATCTAGCTAGGTCAGTATTGTCTGCTCTGGCTGGCAGGAAGGGCCCAGTTTTGATCCTGTTTAACTGGATATGTCAGTGACTGAAACTGGGACCTTCTGCATGCAAAGCAAATGCTCTACCACTGAGCCACAGCCTTTCCCAGAGTTAGGCCCACATGTCTGTCTGTTCGTCCGTTCACATCCATTCATCTATCCATCTCTCTGTCTCTGTCCGTCTGTCTGTCAAGTGCTGTCAGGTCACTTTCAACTTATGGCAACCCTATTAATTGAATGACCTCAAAAACGTGCTATCACGGACACCCTTACTCAGGTCTCCATAGTGTCACCAATATGGCTATAATATACACCCTTCAACCAAACTTTGGGAGCAGGCTACCAAAAGCGACTGGCAGGCAAGGCTCTCCAAAACTTCTTCCCTCTGTACAGGTTTTGGCCTTGCCCATTACAAAAAACAACCACCAAAAAACACCATTAAGAAGAAAGGACAGAGCAAGATTTTTGTGTGTCTCAAACTCTTGTGGGGAGGGTTCATCGTTTGGGAGTATCTTTTCCATCACTGACTCTACTTGTTCTCCCCTCAGGAAGCAGACTCTTAGAAGTAGTCAATGAACTCTGCGGCGGCTGCAACATGGCCTCCATCAGAGAAGTGTCCAGCATTGCCGAAGATCTGCTCTGTTCTGTCTGCCTCTCCATCTTCCAGGAGCCCCGCATGCTGGGCTGCGGCCACAATTTCTGCCTGGCTTGTTTGGAGAGCTGCGTCATCCCCAAGGGCCAGCATCAGGGGACGTGCCCTCAGTGCCGATGCCCCTTCCGTCTTCAAGATGCCCTGTGTAACAGAGTCCTGGCCAGCCTGGCGGAGAAGGCCCGGCTCCTCAAGCTGGAGGAGGGGGCGCAGTCCGATGGGGCTGGGAGCTGGTATTTTTGTGAGGAACACGAAGAACCTCTTAAGCTCTTCTGCAGCGAGGATGAGGCGCCAGTTTGTGTGATCTGCCGGGATCTGCCGCAACATCAGGGTCATCGCTTTTTGCCTATCAAGAATGCGGTGAAGGTTTGTCAGGTAGGAGCCGGTGGACGGATATGCATCGTAAGGCATCCCTTGACATGATCAGCGATTTCTGTGTATGGTGTTTGATACATGATGACTATCAGTTCTAATCAAGTGGTGAACATGCATTTATGCTACAGCCCTAAGTCATGAAGCGGGATCCTAAGCATGTATGGAAGGCCCACTAAAACCCAGTGTGCTGTTTACGGTGCAGTGCGGTCTTGAGTAGAATTATCCCTTTCCTACTCCACTGAAGAGAATAGGCTCAGAAGGGTAGAAATCTGCCTAAGATTGCATTGCCACTTCCTCGTACATAAGATTGTAATATTAGTTAGAATGCTCTCTAGAAGGATGGTGGGAATTCTAGCTTGAAAGAACAAAAGTGCCGAGGAAGGTGAATGTCTTTTGCCGTCTTGATCTCTTCTGTCCTGATTTTTATTTCTTTATTGGTTGCCCAGGATAAACTGAAGGCATCTCTTGAGTCCTTGGAGGATGGCATGAAATGGGCCACAAATAATAAGTCTCGCCAGCAGGAGGCGATAGAAGAGCTGGAGGTAAATTCAAGGGGGAAACCAGAGTCTGAAAGAGGAAAGCTGAGGAGAGGTGGGCTTAGAGGCAGAGAATGAAAGTAGACCAGAGGCAGGGTTCCTTGTCCTCATGAGAAAATGGCTGCCTGCCACAGTTGCGGGTGATGGCTAGAGTTCCCACACAGCACACAAGAACCAGAGTCGCCAAGGGGCTTGAAGAAAAATATCCTGCCCTTTTTACAGAGGCTTAATGAGCAGTTATTTACCTGGTGAGGCTATTTGTCCTCCATGCCATGAAAAGCTTCAGATGCCCATTTCCACACATTGGTGGTGGAAAGTGCCATGCCAATGTCAAGCATCAGTTTCGTTTTCTCTTCGTTTCACTCACTTGCTTGCCATAAGATACGGGAGGAGGGAATTCCTGCGGGGAGTGCATGAGGGTTTTGAATGAATGCTTCTAGCAGCCATAACATTCTTTAAGCTGTGCCCCAGAGCCAGTTCTCATGAGAGTTGGCCTTGGAGACTTCTTCACCAGGCTAGGCATAGATAAGATACCATATATCTGTTAGGATTGCCATGGACACAGTAGGGGCTGATTGGTGACGTTACGTATGCGTGAGGTGTGGGGTGTAGGTTGTATTACTTTTATTAGGGGCTTTTGCGCACGCTTTTTTCCAGTTCTGACACGGAATGTCTATCCTACAGCAAGCACGTCACCTTGTTTAAGTGTGCTGTGGAGAGTTGCTTAAACTGGGAGGCCTGACAGCCAAGGCACTCCACTTAGAGAGTACATTCAACCAGTGCTCTATCAGCGGCATTGGCTCCAGATGGTGGACCAGATCAAATTCAATGTTTTGGTAATGACCTTTAAAGCCCTTAACGGTCAGGGACCAGCATACCTTCAGGACTGCTTATCCTGACATGTCTCCCACAGAGCACTACGCTCGAGTGAACAAAACCTACTTGTCCTGTGCGCTTCCGGTGGTCCCCGGCCCAAAGAGCATCTGTCTGTCCTCAACCAGGGCCAGGGCTTTTTTAGGGCTTTTTTAGCCCTGGTCCTGGCCTGGTGGAACACTCTTCCAGGAGACATCAGGGTCCTGTGGGATCTAGTGCCATTCCGCAGGCCCTGCAAAACTGAGTTGTTCTGCCGGGCCTATGGCTGAGGGTAAGGGTGGGTGGGTACCTCGCTGCTTCCCTTCTTCAGTGGATTTATGCCATCTTGATTTTATATACTGTATTTTCTGGTGTATAAGACTACTTTATAAACCCAGGGAAATCTTCTCAGAAATGGGGGGGGTCGTCTTATACGCCAGTAAATACAGTCTCTGGGCAAGTATATCCCAAACTCTATATTTTAACTGGAAAAGTTGGGGGTCGTCTTATACGCCCAGTCGTCTTATACACCGGAAAATGGTAACTGATTATATTGTATTGTTTGTATTTTAATGTATTTTATTAATGACTGAATTATTTGATATTGGAAATTTTGGTTGTATATTTATAAATGGAGGTTATAGGGTTGCCAAGTCAAAAAAACTCACCGGCGGGGGAGCCGTCCTCGGATGCGCGCGCGTGTGCCGCCAGCGCATCACCAGAAGTGACATGCGACGTCGACCACGTTGAGCATTGAGGGCATGGCCCCGATCGTTGGAGGGAAAACCATAGAGTTTTCCCTCCGACGATCCGGGCCACGCCCCCAACGTGATCAGCCACGCTGCACTTCAGGGGGCGGAGTTCCCCCCGGGGCCCGATTCCGCGGCGGCGGAAATCGGGCCTCCAAAGCAGGGTTTTACCCGCCCCCCGCCCCCACTTGGCAGCCCTAGGAGGTTACCTGCTCTGAGCCGGTCTTCGGGACAGTGGGCTATAAATTAAATAAATAAACAAGCCACAGTCTCCTGGCCTAGTTTCTAGCCATAGGTCCACACTCCAGTCAAGTTACCTCAGATATTCCATCCAATGCCTACCGGCTACTCCGGGGTTCACATTTGAATGAAGCGATAAACTTTCCTCATCCTCTTGCAGCCAGCAAATGTCCCTGGAATCAAAGGAAGAGGAGACTGGGGTTCCCATCTTTCCCACCTGCTGTTCACCCACAGCATCAGATGCTGTGCTGATTGGATAGAAGCGGACTGGGGTTGGGTTTGCTAATGCAATCAAGGAAAGCCTGGCATTTATTACAGAATGTGTAACATCAGATGACACCTTATGGCCTCCTACTCATTGTGGTAGGGGAACTTCATAAAAGTCGGTTGTCTTTTTGGTTTATTTCAGGGCACATGGGACTAACAAAATTAATGCGGGCTACTAAGGGAAATTGTGGGTTTGTGACTTGCCGACCAGCCTGTCTGACATGATCATTCTATTCCTATCAGGTTTTCCCCCTCTTGTGGTAGATGATAATAGAATGAATCATTCACCGCAAGAATAAGATCCACAGGGTTTGGTATACCATTGCAAGCCATCTCAGTGCGGATTGAGTTAGTGGCAGCAAACCCACGGCTTCTGGTATCTGATTCAGAAAACCACAAGGAAGAGGAGAAGGGCCAGGGGTGTAGCCAGAAAATTTTGGGTGGTGACTGAGGCATTGGGAAATCTGGGGAGAACGGGGGGGGGAGAGAGATCTCATTGGCAGGCAGGTGAAGAAGGGTCTTTCATTACCTACCAGTTGCACTCGTTTGCCTCAGCTGCTACAGGAGAAGGAGAGCCCGCCGGCCAGTGCAATTAATACTCAGTGAATATGCACTTTCTGCATGACTGCAGTGAGGCCTGCCTGTCTCATCTGCCTGCTTGCTCAGCCTGGGAGAAGGAGAGCCGGTGGGCCAGTGTGATTAATACTCAGTGAATATGTGCTGTGTGCTACAGAAGTGGCAGGCCTCGCCTGCCCACTACTGTAGCAGACAGTGCATACTTGCCGAATATTAATCGCACTGGCTGGCCGGCTCTCCTTCTCCTGTAGTGGTTGAGGTAAACAAGTGTGGCTGGCATGTAGGAGCACGGGCAGGGGCAGTAGGAGATGTGGGGCGTGGGCCATGTGTGAGGGGGCACCGCCCCTAAATGCCCCACTGAGAATGGCCAACCAACAGCCCAGTTTCAACTTGATCTAATTTCTCTGCCCCCCTCTTGCAGAGCTTAAGTCAGCATCTGTATGGCCACATCTTCATTGAGTTTGAGAGTCTTCGCCAGATCCTAGATGCTAGAGAGCAGAGCATGATGGGCACTGTGAAACAGCTGAAGGAGGACAACCAAGCCAAAATGGAAGAGAGGCTGGAGTATTTAAAATCGTACACGTCCTCTCACGCCGAGACCATCTCCGTGACCCAAGCGGCGCTTGAGGAATCGAATGAATTTGCTTTGCTGAAGGTCAGCCCCCCTCGCTCTGCTCACCAGCGCTATAGCTCTCTGCACTCACGGTATCGTTTTATAGGCACTCTGCTCCCACGTGCTCCACAGGCTCACCCTCAAAATGGTGTTTGGCCATATTTTTATCCTATAATGGTCAATATTTTCAGTGCAGTGCAGACAGCCAGTTTGGTGTAGTGGTTAGGAGTGCAGACTCTAATCTGGGAGAACCGGGTTTGATTCCCCGCTCCTCCACATGCAGCTGCTGGTGTGACCTTGGGTCAGTCACAAGTTCTCTCAACTGTTCTCTCAAGGACAGTTCTGGAAAGAGCTCTCTCAGCCCCACCTACCTCACAGGGTGTCTGTTGTGGGGAGGGGAAGGGAAAGGAGATTGTAAGCTGCTCTGAGACTCCTTCGAGTAGTGAAGGGCAGAGTATAAATCCAGTTTCCTCCACCTCTTCCGCCTTCTTCTTCCATTGTGTAGACCTTCTTGTGCTGCTTCCACCAGATAATAATACCAATCAGCAGGGGTCATTTCGTAGAAAAAGATGTGCAGGAGCTCATTAGCATAACTCATTGGCATAACTTATTTGCATAAGCCACACCCCCTGACACCACGGGAAGTGTGTCAGAAGGCAACACCCACTGCAATTTACCTGGCTGCTTCTTGCTCCTCATGGCCCGGGGCTGCTGGGAGCAGGATGCGGGGCTTTTTACTGCCGGCTCTTTACTGCTGGAGCTCCGCTCCTGCACGCTCCTGCAGGAAATTACCCCTGCCAATCAGCATCAGCCTCAAGAAGACCATTTAATTGGTGAATTGTCAGAAGGAGTGTCTCATAAAGAGGGGGATGTGCTCCACAATTTCTGTCTATGCCGTCTCCACCTTCCTGGCTTCTCAGAAGTAAACCACCCATTGCAAATAGTGGGGGGATGTTCTGCAGCTAATCCGTGCCAGGATGTTCCAGTTCCCTTCCTTTTTGGCAGTGCTGCTCCCAGGATCACCCTGAAGTTGGAGGCCCAATTTCCAGAACCCTGATTTTATTTTCTGATGAATGATGCCTGCCACACTTATTAGGTTTAAAAGCCCATAAGCCATACACCTTTCTAAGGTGATACCTGCCACAAAGAGACTGGTGGACGGGCAGACAGGCACATCCTTTCGCCATTATGGATTCATGGAAGGTTTCCCCTTCCCTTTTCCTAAGCTGGCATCCAGGGTGCAAAGTGTACACAATCAAGTAAAAAATTCACTAAGCAGTGATTTATAGACATATCAGATACATTTACAACAACAGCCAGTGATAGGCACCTTCTTAAAGATGCAGAAGGGAACGCAGCTTCTGTGACGGTGCTTGTTTCGATGGGTGTGCATCATCTAAAAGCAGAGGTGTTTTCATTCAAGATAATGCAGATTTCTGTAGTTTATCAAAACTCCTCTCATCGACTGGGACTTGTTGTTTCTCAAGATCACAGCCTTAGTGAGCTTGCGCATCTACCATGAGCCTTCTTACTGTCTGGATCAGGGGTGTCAAACATGCGGCCTGGGGGCCAGATCAGGCCCATAGTGGAACTGGCCATCTCCTGCTTCCAGTTCTGTTGCTGCTGCATCATAGCTTGCTTCGCCAGACTCTCTTAATCCCCCAGCCATTTCATGTTTTAACCTGGGTCCTAGACTCAGAACTCTGAGCATGAGATTTCTGTGGTGAATGTCAATAAATCAAAAGTAGGTTTGCAGCTTACAGAGCTAATGTTTTAAGCATGTTTTTGTTTTAAGTTAAAAAATCCCTTTGTGTGTGTGTCCTTTATAAAGTTTATATCTCTGCTACCTGGCATTACATTTGATGACACATATGGCCCGGCCCAACAAGACCTCATTAACGTCAGATCCAGCCCTCATAACAAATGAGTTCGACGCCCCTGGTCTGGATGATGGATTAGAGTTGGTTGCCATAAAAGGGGGGTATGTATTGATGGGCCGGGGGGTTAATTGAATCTGTTTCTCTTCCATTCAGGGAATCAAGGAACTGATGCGACGGTGAGTATCTGTCTTGCAGTCCAGCCTATGTGTGACATTGATACAGCAGTGGTGGCAGAGATAGCCAGCACGGTTAGTTTTGGACTAGGGCCTGGTTTTCAACCCCCACTCTTCCATGAAACTTTCTGGGTGACCTTTGGCCAGTCACTTTCTTAGCCACACCGGCCTCGCAGGGGGAGGAAGGAACAACCGTGTGTGCCCCCTCACCCAGAGCTTTCTGAAATAATCGCAGGGGGGAATTTACTAAACCAGCAGTTATTAACAGTGGCCCTACCACTCCCCTCTCCCTGTGAGAATCTGGGGAGGAGCATTCAGAATTGGAGGGGTGGTAAATTCAGGGTTTTAGGTAGTCCCTTCTCCCCACTTTCAATAGCTTCTGGCAGCTGGCAGAGAAGACCTATTTTATAATGCTTACCCCACCCTGAGGACAAAATTCTGCTTTCTTCTTTCCTAAGGCCTTTTAAAAAGTGGTCCACAGCAAACAGGACTCAAACTAGGGATGCCAGCCTCCAGGTGGGGCCAGGGGATCCCCTGGAATTACAGCTCATCTCCGGACTAGTGAGATCAGTTCCCCTGGAGGAAATGGCTGCTTTGGCGGGTGGACCCTGTGGCACTGTACCCCACTGAGGTCCCTGTTCTCTCCATTCCCAAATCTCCAGGAGTTTCCCAAGTTGGATCTGGCAACCCTATCCCCCATCCCCCGCTGGTGGTCAAGGGGGGGCCTAGCAACCCTAAATCGAACCAAAGATTAAGTAGTTGGCTGATGAGGCATAAAGATACCATTGAATGTATGCCTGAGATCCATAGATCATATGCATATACCTGCATATGAATCATAAATATACCTGGGTGTGTTCCTTTGCCTGAAGTGCTGTTGTGATATCCTAATATTTTACTTCCGTTGGGGGAGCATTCAGAGGTAATGCTGTATACTTAAGGAGGGATGGTTGATATTAGACAAAAGGTTAAGAGCCATTGGGTAGACATGAGAAGGGTTACCATGTGCTTGCCAGGAAGGTGCTGTGGACTTGGGGCAAGCCAAGCAGTCTGCTCAGGGGCTGCCTCTGTAGCTCATCGGGACTAGCTCCACCGGCTTCCGTTGTTTGTGGGTTTCAATGGGTGCATTTACATCACACGATTAAACACAGATTACACTTTGCAACCATAGATATATTTCCCGGTGCTGCTTCCAGCCCTCCAGTGCGAGGCTGACTCTAGCATGTGAGATTTGAATAAGAGGAACTCCTGATTTAGTGAGGCCCCAAGGAGTGAGGCATACAATGCCTCTCTCATAGCCACTGCAGAGTCACATTGCTATATCTGGCCGGCTGCTCATTCATATCCTCTGTCTCTAGTGGTATGCATCCAACCAATCTGCAGACTTCATGGAGGGGGACTTTCCTGCTTCCCTTTCCTAATGCAGCCAGGACTGTAGCTACGGTGAGACTTTGGGGGGGGGGGCTCTGCCCCATTTTAAAAAGGCACAGTCCCACAAGAATTTCTCCTGTAAATGTTTTTTGCCAATCATTAAAAATTTTTTTTAAAAAGGTGTGCACTCCTTTAAGCAGAGTGGGGTGGTGTAGATAACTAATTCCTGAACTGAGCAAGGGGGTTGGAGTAGGTGACCTCTAGGATCCCTTCTAACTCTGTGTCAAGAAACTGGTCTCCTTTGAGAGAGTTTTTCTGCCTAAGGGTTAGTTTTCTTGACTGTAGAAGGCATCACCCCCACCTGCTGGCTTGTTATCAGAAATGTTGCTTAGGCTGGCAGAAGTGATTAACTTCCAGCAGCTGAGAACTAATCTTCAGTGGTTGGCAGCTTGCAATTTAGAGATCTGTCCTGGTAACAGCTTTCTTTTGGCTAAATGGTTAATAGGCTAAGGGTGAATGCTAGCATAAGAACACCCATGTAGAATAGACAGCGTGGGAAGACTAGCTGAGTCATAATCCCCAGAATTCTGGCTGTTCTTTCTGCATGGAGAAATTCAGCCCCACCAGAAAAACAATTGCCCCACAAGCTACAAAATCCTGGCTATGGGCCTGAATGCAGCCCATGGAAGTATGCAGTATGATTGGGGGGGGGGGGGACTGGTGGGAATCACCACCCCTTCTGCAAACAGAAATCCCTTTCCATTGGAGGTGCTGCGTGATTGGATGCATGTCTCTGTCCATGTTATTCTCCACCTGTGTCCCAAACGGTATAGGAAACTGCCTTACCATCTATCCAGGGGTCGTTTCGTAGAAAAAGAGCTAGGGGAACTCATTAGCATAGCTCATTAGCATATGCCACACCCCCTGACATCATAAGGCACGGCGGTGGACCTACAAGGCCGGCGGAAGTGCGAGGAAGCCCTGCCAAGGCCCTCCCTGGCCCCAGGCAGGCAGGGGTGGGGAGAGGCGGGGGGGAAGCAACTTACCCTCCCTCTCCTCCTGCCTCCTCCTGGCTAAATGAGGGCAGGAAGCGGGGCGGCCGGAAGAAGGGGCGGGGCTTCATCATGTGCCCCGCCCCCCACCTCACCCGGGGGAACGGCGATCCCCCGCGATCCCCCCAAAATGACCTCTGCATCTATCAATTCAGAACTCTGGTGAGCTCATCGCTGGGTCTCATCACGGTTTAATTCCAGCCACACTTTTAGTGGGAGATGCTGAACCTAGCATCTTTTTTGAAGCAAATGAAACTATGGCCACTTCTCCACCCCACAGAATCCAGGAGCGTCTAGAAGAAGGAAATGGAGAAGCAGAACCTGACCAGGGAGCCAAGGAAACCGAGGAGGAAGATGCCAAAGATGCGACAGTTGGTCTAAATGTTTCTGAAGGAAAAGGGAATGAAACCCAAAATGATGAAGGGGAACCTTATGCTGAAGGTCAGGAAGCTGAGGACAGAGACATTGTCTATGTGGATCCTGCTCTTGAGGGGCTGGAAGCGTGGCTAGATTTTGAGACCTGGAAAGAAATGTTGGAAAGCATCACAATTGGGGAGAACGACAACCAAGCCTCACCCTACTGGTTCCCATCACCGGAGGAAGACGTATTCCAACCTGGGGATGGCAGTACTTCTGAGGCAACTGAGGAAGAAACAACATCCCTAGAAGAAGACGCAATCTGCGCTGTAGATGTTGTCACTTCAAAACCAGATGAAGCTGCCTCTGACAAACCTTCGCTAGGCAGCTGCTCTGCCACAGCTCTGCCCATAGAGAGAGTCCTCCATAGCCAACCACCCAGCCCCTGCCCACCTAATTACTTCCCGGTGCCTATCTTCCAACAGATACCACTTTACAATCCAGTGCAAAGATGGGGGTCCCCGTGTAGCTGGAGGCCTAACCCCAGAAGGGGCTGGACCATGATGCCAGGCAGGGGAGCCCCATCTAGGCCCTTGTTTTGGCCCAGACAAGGACAAGGCAGAGCATTTCCAAATACACGGACACAACACACTGTGTGCAGTTGGAGATCACCCGGGACAGACACATGGAAAGCTAGAGGGGCAAGTGCCTCAGGGCCAGGTAGGGGCTGGTTCAAGAAGCAGAACCCTCAACCCAGTGGGAGTAACACCTCAAGTCAGAGTGGTGGGGGGAAAACACAGTCACCCACGCCCAGGGGAGCTCACGTTTCAGGGCAAGGCCGAGGAGGTCCAGGGCAAGGTCGGGGGTCTGCACACCCACCAGGCCGAGGAGGTCCAGGGCAAGGTCGAGGGTCTGCACACCCACCGGGGCATGGAGGTTCCGGGCAAGGTCGAGGGTCTGGTCAGAAAGGACCAACCCACCACAGTGGAGGACACGCTTCCTCAAGCAAGGGGGCGTCAAATAGGCAGACATCTCATCATGGAGGGCGTGGTTGTGGTTCAGCAAGAGGTTCTCAGAGAAAGTAGTCCCTTCCCCACTCATTTCCCTCAGCAGTGGCTGCATCTAAGAGACATAAGACATAAGAGACGCCAATGTTGGATCAGGCCAAAGGCCCTTCCAGTCCAACACTCTGTGTCACACAGTGGCCAGAAATACCAGGTGCCATGAGGAGGTCCACCACTGGGGCCAGGACATTAGAAGCCCTCCCACTGTTGGCCACCCCAAGCACCAAGAAGACAGAGCATCACTTGCCCCAGAGCCCCTATCTATACCTTGTGGCTAATAGCCACTGAAGGTCCTCTGCTCCATCTTCTTATCTAATTCCCTTTTGAAGCCGTCCATGCTGGTAGCCGCCACCACTTCCTGTGGCAGTGAATTCCATGTGTTAATCCCTCTTTGGGTGAAGAAGTACTTCCTTTTATCCGTTCTAACCCAACCGCTCAGCAATTCCATGGAGTGCCCACGAGTTCTTGTATTGTGAGAAAGGGAGAAAAGTACCTCTTTCTCTACCTGCTCTATCCCATGCATAATCTTATAAACCTCAATCATGTCACCCCTCAGTCGTTGTTTCTCCAAGCTAAAGAGCCCCAAGCGCTTTAACCTTTCTTCATAGGGAAAGTGTTTCAACCCTTTTATCATTAGAATTGCCCTTTTCTGCACTTTTTCCAAAGCTATAATATCCTTTTTAAGGCGTGGTGACCAGAACTGCACACAGTATTCTGCACACAGTATCTGAACGAAAGGAGGAATGGGAGAGGGATGGAATTGTTGGATATTGTAACTCTGCATGCAAGAGGATCTGGGAGGGAAAGGGTTAAGAGAATTCTCTCAGGTAACACTTGGCCCCACCCTCTCATTGTTTAGATGTTCAGCTTCTTTGGTCCCTGCTTGCCTTCAGCTTCATTTTATATGGGACCTCTTTTCTCCCTCTCAGCTGGGCTTGGAGCTGTAGCCAGTTAACTTTTTTTGTGTTCATCTGTTCACAGTAAGTTAAGCGTACCTACATGAATATGTCATGTACGATGTGCTTCTATTATTGTAAATAAACCTTCTCTTGTTACCATTGGAGTCATATCATCTTTATAATTTGTTTGAACAGCATTTCCCGGTTAAGGGAATCAGGGATACTGTGAAAACGCTCCCGTGCTTCCAAATTCAAATGTTTTTTTTTACATTTAACCCAATGGGGATGACTTATTGAGACACCTGATTTTCTCATTTTGACCATCAACTGGTGTGGTTGTCATACTCTGAGCCACCAGTGTGAAGGCTGCAGCACTGTGCTAACAGGGGTCCTTTCCGCATTCGCCTGCTATTCCGAATTTTCTCAAGTGTTCGAGTCGAGGCAATTTAAGTCCACAGCAAAACAGCATCCAAATAACCCGGGGGCAACAGCAGGCTGAAACCGGGCTGAACACTGAAGGGAGGTAATGTAATGCAGAATGGGGGAAAAACCCGGAATAAAAAGGTTGAACTTGATTTTAATGCAGAATCGGGGGGATGGGGGGGAACGGGACCAGTGTTCCCTCTAAGCTGAGTTAGTGTGAGCTGGCTCACAGTTTTTTAGCCTCCAGCTCACACATTTTTGCCTTAGCTCAGGAAGGAGGGCTCCAGAGCAAACTAATTCATGCAGCAGCCAAATCCCTCGCTCACAACTTTAATGCTGGTAGCTCACAAAGTAGAATTTTTGCTCACAAGACTCCAAAGCTTAGAGGGAGCATTGGACGGGACCCTTGATTAAAAAGAAGGTTGAGTTCAATTTTAGCGAATTGCTTGGAGGAAACCGTGGTGAACATGGATTAAAAGGAGAGTGCAGAAAGGGCCCAGGTGAATGGATTCAGAACGTTTGGATCATCCCCTCCCCACAACTGCCAGTTCATCAGGCAGTAGATTGTTGTTGTTTTTTAAATGTACTTTTAATATAATGTTTAAAATGCCAGCAACTGGTGCCATCTTAGGGGGAAAGCGTCTGTCTTCTTTCTCTCAGGAAGGATTGCCTCTTCTAAGATGTTGCCTGTTACATCATTAGAAAGCAAAATACAATTTCCCCCCTTCCTAATGACTGCTTTTATTATTCTTAGATACGTTTAATTGTAATACACATAGGGCTGTGCAGATGTTGCAGTTTCATGCAGGTGCGGGAAAAGTACAGAATGTGATTCTGGATGCAGAATCCCGTTTTCTTTGTGTTTTCCCCTATTTAAGTTTGAGAAGAAAATTTATCGTATTCCTGATTCTCAAAAGACGTTTGAACGCATGAAACGACCTTAAATGGACTCAGACCCTTGGGTCTGTCAAGATAGTTTCAGAGGGCATCCATGTTGGTCTGGAGTTGAATCGAGTCTCTTAAGGCGCCACTGGATTCAAATCGGATTGGTCTGCAACTGGAGGGCACTTTACACACACACACACACACACAAGGTACCCGTGCTGGCCCACTGATCTCGTAGGTTGTCATTCCCCTCCTCCTTCCGTCCGCCTTTAGTAAAGTGCTTGCCCAGCTCTTGTGGCAGTGGAGGTGATAACCCATTGAAGAAGAAGAAGCTGCAGAAGGTAACAGTGAATGGGTTGTGGGGTAGGGCTGCCCCTTGCCCCATTTCTCACGCTTTAAACCCATGCCCCCCCCATACAGAGGCCAATTCTCACAAAGAATACTGTACAAAATGCAAAGCGCTTTTATTTACCACATAGATGGAAAGGACTCAAAAACAAAACAATAAAAACCCCCAAGCATCTATATATTAGTGTAAAAAAATCTGTCTATTTTTCTCTGCTCTTCAAATATGTACACATCCTGATGCAAGATACGAACAAACAAAGAACTACGAATATCCTGGGGGAGACACACATAAAAAGGCATGTGACCGGGGAGTGTGGATGAGGTGCAATTTAAACAGAGAAGCAATTAGAGACAGAACTCTTTGAGTGCTGATGATTTCCCCCCCCCCCAAACAGAAATATACATCTAGATAAAACGAGTCATTTCACACCACTGAAAATAGTCCCAAAATTAGCCCGTCCGCAAGCCAAAGGTTGTCCCACCAGAAAGCAATGGAATGCTGTTAAATCCTTGGGAGTTAGCCCCACGGAACATCTTTCTGAGTAAACGTGCCTAAGATTGCGTCGCACATCATACCTTCTGAAGAATGTTCAATTCATACAATTACCACTTTTAAAAAACAAATTGGTGGGGAGGGGCTTGGTGAAAGTGACAAAACAGTGTACGGAAACCTCAAAATTATTTCATACCATTCTGAACAAGATTTTTTTTTTTTAAAAAAAGAATCCCATCCTTTTCCCTCTATCAAAATCATATTCTGCTTTCTGCAACTATCCACTGAAACAAACATTACATTTGGGAAGGCGCTTGACAAAACTGAAGAGTAATAGTAGGTCAGGGGGCTTTCTGTAATTAGGAAACGAAACAGGAGTTGGAAACAATGTATCTCCACCCACACTGGACAAGCAGTGCATTGCCATGACAAAAAGTTTAATGCACTTGCTATTTGGGAGGAGTTGCCTCTGATCCAACAACCTGATCCAACGACATTCACGGTGTCAGCTTGGCTGTGCACAGATTCTGTGAGCACAGCTCTGCAGATGATAGCGTTGATTTGGTGGTGGGTATGCATGTGGGAAAACTGTTTTTTGGGGGGAACAGATCTAGGATGGATGATTTCCCAACACTCTGGCTTGCTTTGGGGAACCGCAGCCCCTTCTCCCTCCCTGCGTTTTGTACAGTACAGTATCTACAATCTCGCCACCTCCATTTTCAAAGAACAGGCCAGATCCCCAGCTTGTGTGAATCCGCGGCAGCTCAGAGGTCCGTGCTGCCGAAACATCTGGTAAATGGAAAACCAGTCCTTTCGGAAAACCCACTGTCCATTCTTCTTTTTGAAGGCTGAACGGTGGTCGCACCCAGCTTCCAGTCGGGTCTCTGACCGCCTTTACTCGTCAAAGTAGCTAAGACCAAGAGGTATTCCCCCTCCCCCCCAACCCCGCCCTTCAAGAGCAGCTAGTACTGGGTCTGCCCAGCCTACAATGGGTTTGTGAAGTACCTTTGTAGCCACTTCTTCTTCCAGCCTCTCCAAGTGTCCAGTGCTCAGTTTAAAAAAAAAAATCCCAGTGTGCTCAGACCAGAAGGTCCTATTTGTTTAGCCAGTGTTAGTCCAGTCGTAGTTAAAACTTAAAAGGTAGGAAAGCGATCCCCAATGCTGAGAATATTAAAAGTTCTGGATGACCCCGCCCCCTTTCTCAGTGGGCTGGAATTGTTTTTGGGAGAAAGAGCAGAAATCAAAAGAACCAGGACAGAGCTAGGTTTCTCAGAGTTTAAAAGGCTAATTCTCCATATGAGAAGGGGAAAAAGAACAGGGCCTAGCCCCATTTCACTGCGCCATAGCAGACTATTCAGTCTTGTTTCAGTAGCGCAGCAGAAAAGGAAGGACCAAGGCGTATCAGAGAAGAAGAAGAAGAAGAAGAGGAAGAAGAGGAAGAAGAGGATGAAGAAGAGGAGATTGGATTTATACCCCGCCCTTCACTCGGAGTCTCAGAGTGGCTTACAAACTCCTTTCCCTTCCCCTCCCCACAACAGACACCCTGTGAGATAGGTGGGGCTGAGAGAGCTCTTTCAAGAACTGCCCTTTCAAGAATAGCTCTGACAGAACTATGGCTTGCCCAAGTCATCCAGCAACTGCGAGTGGAGGAGTGGGGAATCAAACCTGGTTCTCCCAGATTAGAGTCCGCGCACTACACCACTACACCAAACTGGCTCTATCCAGCAAGGTTTCTCAAAGTTTTTGAGCTCTACCCACCCCCAGCTTCTAAACTTACCCTTAACTTCTAAGCTCCCTTAACCCAGGAAAAAAAATATCTTCCACAACATAGCATGCTTTCCAACGAATGCGGCCTACAGAAGATCTCTGATCTGGGCCCATAACCCAACACCATCTGTGGAAAGGGGGTTTAAACATCTCTGAGGCAAACACACATGCAGGGAAGCATCAAAGCAGGGGACTTTCCTAAATCAGGATGGGGCGACGGGGCAATCCGTCACACCCTCCACACACACAAATTTGGTGTGGTTCGGTAAGGATTCTCTGCTAGAACAGTGAATTGGCAAGGCAGATTCCACCTGTTTCAAGATCCTGTTCCTCCCTGGAATTCTGTGCACATGTTTCCAGGTATGCCCCCAAGGAGGCACTCCTTTTTGTGCTCCCCCAGATGGCCTGCCCTGCAGTTTGAGACTTCAGAGCACTGGGGTGGAGGGAGCCCAGAGACTGAATTGCAAAATCAGATCAAAATCACATCAGCCTCACCAACGGGACCGCCTGCATTAACAATAACAGAAATTTACGCGCATCATCTCAGCAGTCCTTACGACAGCTCCGTAAGGCAGGTCTGCATTATCACCTCATACTGCAGATGGGAGGTGGTGATGGAGAAGAATAGTCTGCCATGCAAAGGCAAGATCTTAGCCAGAGTTTGTGCCCTTTAGACCACCGCACTCTTGAACCCTTGAAGCATAGACATGGCCACTAGTATTGAATTGACAGAGAAGAACTGATTGGATGAGGGTGCCGGATACTGGACCAATAATAAACCAGGTTATGTCTGCTTTTGTGTCGGAGGACTGAGGGGCAGGGAGAAGCTCCTAAGATAACCGCCTCGGAACCATCTGTGCTCCCTTGGGAAGGCTCAACTCACTTGCGAGGAAGCAAGGGAAAATAATGGAATACGTACAGCACACACAGACAGGAAGAATCTCGAGGGGCCCGAATGAGAGGGGGTGTGCGTATAAAGTCAAAAGGCAGGTCTTGGCGTAGCTGGCTTTATGAGGATAGAGTGGATTGGGCAGAACGGAATTAGACAGCAGCAGACATCGGAATAAGAAGAAAACAGGTGGATAAGTGGGCTGAAAAACAGAAAGGGGGGAGTGTCCTGGACAGGTGTCTCCGTTTGGCAGTTCTGGATCATCCAATGAAAGGATCAAGAGGAGACTGGGGACAGGCAGAAAAAGGTGAGAGACAGAAGAGATAGATGATGGTAGGCTTGGGGCGGGTGGAGGGGTGGCCACAAGCAGGGCCACGGAGGGAGACACCTGCCACAGGCATCCTGCTAGAGAAGATTCCAGAGCAAGCTGCTCCCCCCCCCCCCCCCCCCCCTCAACTCTGATCCTCGACAGTCTCTGGGGCACTGCCCAACTCTTGAATGTTGCCTCCTCTGCCTGCCAGCAGCCTGGTTCACACCATATTGAGGGCATCCTCTGCCAGGAAACGGTGCAGGTGCTGGAAAGACGGACGATCCTTGGCATCTTGGGTCCAGCATCTCAGCATCACCTCGTAAACAGCCAGAGGGCAGGCGGGAGGACGGGAGAGATAGACCTGGGGAGGAAGAAGGAAGCACTGCTCGTTACGCTGGTGAGGCTGAACGAATGGGAAGAGCAACACGGGAAGGAGCTTGCGATCTCTCCCGTCCTCCCGCTGCCCTGAGTTCCTTAGATGAGGACAACCAAATGCAGTCGGCAGATCATCTGTCTCTGAGCATGCCTTTCCTTCTGTCCGACTGACGGGTAACTTTCTGACTGACAACTAGATAAAGCTCCCTGGTTCCTAGCAGTGTGGATTACAGAGCTCAAGGGATACAAAACTGACATTCATATTTGTCCTACTGAGACTGGTGGAAACAAAAAAAAACCCAAATGAAATGTTTAAAATAAAAGGGGAGACCGTGCATCCCTAATGAGTTATAGCCTTCCAGGTGGCTGGACCCCCCCACCCCAGTTTGAAATTTCAGACAGATCACAAAACACAAGACTGAGCCCCTTGTGGTAAGATAGGCCTCATCCCATCTGGTGGGTCACAGGCTCTTTGGGGCCTGCCGTCGCCTCATTCTGTGCCCATCCCCCAATGCAGCAGAATACCATTGATAACCTCAGTGACACAGATACCCCCTGATGCCTAATGTCTCGGTATGCTTTAGTGGTGGTGAGAGCTAGGAGAAACTATCCCAATAGCCAGAATTCCCCACCCACCCTGCCCATTCTGGGCCCCGGCCAGCCCCCTGGGTGGATACCTGCTTGCCCTGGTGCCGGAAGAACTCGCCGGCGTTCTCAATGACAGCTTCGTCGGTCAGTTGGCTGTAGGGCTGCTCCTGGCATAGCATAAGCACCTCCCACAGTGTGACGCCGAAAGCCCAGACGTCAATGAGAATACAGGGGGGCAGTAGACGGCACACAGACACCCTATCACCTCTCCTTGTCCATCCCAGTCACCATCTTCCATCTCTGTCTTGACATTCAGGAGTGATCTCAAGGCCTGGGGAAAAATCCCAGATGCTGCCAAGACGATTCCCACGACCCAAAACCTTCCAAGCCTAGTTCTTCACTCTCGCACAGCTCCTTGAACACAATCCATGCTGCAACTCCACAGAAACGCAAAAAAACCCCCTTCAGAACGGAGTTTCCTGGAAAGCTCAGCTTTCATCTAAAAGAAAGTTTCACAGCCTTTACAGCAGTGAAAATACATTTGACAATGTGTAGACCATGCCTGCTGAAACCTCATAAGCCAGAAAGGTAGCTGAATCACAGTGGAGTAATTCAATGATAGTGACCCTCCGCCATTTTCTACTTCCCCTAGGCACTGCTTCCACACCAGTGATTCTTCAAGTTCAAATAGCCCCCGAATCATCTATGTCCCTTCAGCTCCCTTTGGAAAGCCACCGCACCACAGAGTCCCCCTCACAAACAAATCCCACAAAACTGCCCTATACATGGGTGCCATTAGAAAGAAGGGAACAGTAACTAACACTGAGGAGATAAATAAGATAAACGGGGTAACCCCATCACATTTTGAGGAACTGTTCTGCCCTCCTCTGGCAAAACAGTGTTCTTGGCTCTGTGAACTCACCATGAGGATGCACTCCCAGGCCATCCAGCGGATAGGCAGCACTGCCCGCCCTTGGATGCGGTAATAGTCCCCGGCGTAGAGGTTCCGACTCATGCCAAAGTCAGCAATCTTGATGGTAAACCCTTCGCCCACCAGGCAGTTTCGTGTAGCCAGGTCCCGGTGCACAAAGTTGAGGGAAGCAAGGAAGGCCATTCCTGAGGCGATCTGGGCCCCTATATGGACCAGAGTTGGGTAGCTGAGTAGCAAGCAGAGACAGAACAAGACATGTTAGGGGCTTTCCCTTCTTACGGAAGGAAAGTCAGGGATATTCCCATCAGGTATCGGGGTATGAACTTGGCTGAGAACTGTGATGGACCAAAATTACCTCAGGAGCCTCATGAGTTAGAGCAACATCATGATCTCTTCCTTTGCTGTCTGGCGCACCAGTTTCTATCTTGTGATCTGGCTCTTTGTTTTTTTCAGTGATTCATACTATTACTCTTTTGTTTTTATGGCTGGTTTGTATTTCTGCATTGGTACTGTGTTACCCTTTCAATTGCTGTGTTCAAACTGGCTGCTGTCTGTGGTTGCTCCTTGTACTGTGGATTACTTGGCCTTCTTTTATTAAGAATTATCTTCATTGCCATCCTACACAGAGTTACATCTTTCTAAGCTCACTGCCTTCATTGAACTTAGAACAGTGTAACACTGTTTAGGATGGCACCGGTTATCCTTGTGTACCCTTACTTGTAAGACACCTTGAGTGCAATTTCAGTAGAAAATGCCTGAACCAGAAGTTCACAAACCTTCGAAACCTGGCAAAAAATGTCCAAAATATTCTTGCATTTCAAACAAGGCATTTAAAACCTGGCTTTGGTGGCTACTTGGAAGCATTAAAATCGGGAAGTTGTCACCAAGTCCGTTAGGAATCCCAGAATATACTAAAGACTACACCAGACACCAACATGAAGAATTTCAGTTTGCATTAGAAATTCCTTATTTGTAGTATTTATTGCGGAACTCCTTGAGTCTCCATGAGAAAAGTAAAGTATAAGCCTTTGACTATATGAAGTATCAGTTTATCAAATTTAACACTTTTCTGCTAAAATACTAAAAATAAAATAAAAATACAAATGATTTTTTAAAAAAATCTTGGGGTGTATGCACAGTGGGGAGAAGGCTGACATAAATTCCAAAAACGTAATGTCAGCCTTTTTTGTGGCAAGGCTGTCCAACTGACCCACAGTGTGTGCATAACGTCTGATGAAGAAACTCTTGCTGATGATAATTTGTGCTCCAGTGAGAAATTTGCAGTATATTTGTTTGTCTTTCAAGTGCCACAGGACCCTTTATTGTTTTGAGGGGGGGAAATTAATAAATTGGACAATAGATATTCAAACCTGAAGAATTTGACTGAGAATACGTCCTCCCCCCACCTCAAGCTTCCGACGGTGAAGTTTTCCTTCCAGCTGTGTGAGGTTCAATACCTGATGGTTGGCTTCCCACTGGGGCTCCCGCCCATCTTGTCTTCCAGCTCATGGCCGCTGAGGAACTGGTTGAGGTCACCATTCTCCATGTACTCCGTGATCATGCACAGGGGGTCGTCCCTCACACACACACCCAGCAGCCTCACAATGTTGAGGTCCTTCAAGCGAGACATGATCTTCACCTCCTTCAGGAAGTCGTTCCTTTGTGGGCAGGAGAGGACACATACAGGGGAAATGAGGAGTGTGTCTCAAGGGAAGAAATCTCCCCCACCCAACACATAGTTTCGGAACCAAAAGCAATCCCCAGAGTTTTGCTATGGGAAGCAGAATTTTGGAACCAATATAACTGAGACAGATTGCTGAGCCTGTGGCATTTATGAGATTCTGAGGAAGCGCTGAGAGCACCATTATAAAATGGCTGCTGTGGGGGTCCATTACAAAACCTATCATGCCTATCATGGGGTACTGCAGATCACAAAATGGCTGCCATGGGAGTAAGACTGCTTGTTGGTCACTCGGCTGGTAAAGAGTGACCCCAAAGCTCTATGGTTCCCCCCCCTTCAGTTCCATTCAAGACAGTAAGAATTCCACCTCCAAGAAATACAAATGAAACAGTAAACACATTTGGTGGTGTCAAAACAGCACAGATGCCAAGCTGAGGATCATCGACCTGGGCAAAATGGAACTGGCACAGGACACAAGGCCTAGCTACTCTACAGTGGGTTCCACCATCCACCAGCCCTTATCTTAATCCACAAAATCGACACCACAGCATGGCAGAGCAATTCTTCCTAAAGGCCTCAGTGTAGATGGGTTGTCCGCTTGCTCATTGGAAGAGCTTGCAGTTGCTTAGCGACCCATTGCGTTTCCGAGGCCTGGCCAAAAGGACTGGTCTTAGGCAGAGGGACCAAACATGAACTATAGCAGCAGAGCAGTTAAGTCTCTCCTTACAACTCCAGGGATAGAGCCACAGGGGAATCCCCAATAAATCACATCCAGCCCCAGCCCAAAGAAAGATCAGGCAAAACAAAACTGAAAATGGGAGCGTGACCAAGAATATCTGGGAATATTTAAATGGAGAAATAAATTGGTGGAGAGCCATTCTGAAGAAGAGATTTGAGAATATGTTTTCAATTGTAGAATTTGTGCTCTATACCTGTGAAGCCTTTCTTTTCTGCTGGTTCAACAGTATCAGGCAATAAAGTTAAAGGAAAATCTTGCATGAGAACATGAGAAAAGTACTGGCAGTTACAGTAGACAGCATGGGGGTAGATGAGTCCACTGAAGTCAAGAGGTTTAAAAGGACACAACTCTCTTATAGGGTTGCCAACCCCCCCGGTTTGCCAGGGGTCCCCCATTTTTTTGGGGGTTCTACCCGCCGCCGGCCAGATGGCCGGAGGGGGAAGCCCCACCCCCAACACCCACAGCCACCCATCTCTCTCCCTTTAAGTGTGTGGAACCCATGTTTCCTCCCAAGCCTGATCTCCGCAAGCTTGCAGGGAAATGCCAGCTTCGTGCTCTTAAAAGGGAAATGCGGCTGCTCTTAAAGGGGAAACGCCGGCCCCCTTTAAGTGCAGGGAACTGCCGTTTCTAGAGATCTGGCACACGGACGGGTTGGGGGGGGCGGCGGACGTCCCCAAAATGACATCATCATGTTGGGGATGCCCCGCCCCCTCCAGGAACACCCCCAAAGTTCCCCGCTGGGGGTGGAAGATGGACTTGGCAACCCTACTCTCTTAGGATTGCACTGCCAGGGTACTAAATCAGTATAAAGCAGATTGTGACCACAACAGGATGGGACAAAACTTGGGACTTTTAGCCTTTACAGTTTGGCAATCAAGTTTCTCTTTTGTATATAGTGTGCTATGGTCAGAGTGGGGAGAGAGCTGGATTCAAATGCCTATTCCATCATGGAGTTTTCTGAGTGTCCTTGGACCAGTCACTCCCTCTGTCAAAACTACATCACAGGATCGTTGTGAAGATAAAACATATTATCGTTAAAACATATAAAACGTATCATCACAGGACCATTGTGAAGATAAATCGTACTAATTCAGTAATTTCGGTAAATTCGGCAATCTTTCTCAACCTAGCTTACTTTGCAGTTAGTGTCAAACAAAAAACAGGGGGGGGAAAGAACTGTGTGTGCTGTCCTCAGCTCCTTGGAAGAAAGGTGGGATAAAAACGTACAGACAGAGAGGTATATGCCCAGGAAGAAGGAATTATGCACCTACCTAGCATTCTTAGTGGCGTCAGAGCGTAGAATCTTCACTGCTACCAGCAGAGGGCGCCCTTTGCGCACATTAAATGGGAACTCCAAGCTTGGCAAATCCTGGGGGTTCTCTACTTCACACAAGTGAACCTTGCAAGAAAAAAGAAATCCAGCCAATCAGACAGCGAAGTCAAAGAAGCCTTGTCATGACTATCCAGAAAGATTCTTCCATCACAAATACCCCTTGATCTTTTCATCACGAACCTCCCTCGTCCCTTTCATCACAAACAGTGCAGGACCTAAACATTTTCACACTCAAAGCAAAAAGAAGCTGCCCAGCTGCCCATTCCGTTTTATTGAGGTTATTTTTTTTCTGTAAGCAAACTCTGGAACAAAAGGTAGGGCACATGTGTAAATCTAAATAAATAAATCTAGCATTTTTACTTATATTGTGGAAGAATCCAGGTATTTGGGGGCAAGGGAGGAGTTAATTCTTTTTTTTTTCTGTTGACCTCATTTCTTGCCTCAGTCCAGATGTTTTCTACACTACAAGTTGGCAAGTCAGTAGCACAGCATTCAGACTACATGATATCAGGTTCACAGCTAGGATTTCGTGGCTTGTGGGGCAAAAAAACATTCTAACGGGACTGGTGGGGCTGCCATTATTTCTATGCCAGCTCCAATCTGCCCCCAAGCCCAGCTGCTGGCAGCCACCCCTCTCCCTCCCCTCCTGCAACCAGCTGGAGATCCTTTAAATCTTGCAGGAGGGGAGGGAGAGGGGCGTATCCCACACCCCCTTTTCTTCTCAAAAGCATTTAAAGGATGCTTTTAATGCTTTAAATGCTTTTGAGAAGAAGCAGAGGAGCCTGTGTGCACAGCCCCCCCCCCCGATTGTTCTCAAAAAAATCTTGTGGGGCTGGTCCTTTAAGGAAGGGGGCAGAGCCCCCAATAGCCCCACTGTAACTATGGGCCTGCACAATATGCTGTGACTGAACGATTCCCCCTTGCCCAGAAGTGCCTTGTTTCCTTCGATCCTTCGCCCACTGGGGGTCACACACAGACCTTGTGCCTGACTACTGGGCCCGGGAACCTAAGTGGACCTACCTCCCCAAACTGCCCTTCTCCCAGCTTCTCCCTGAAGAGGAGCCGCTCCCGGGGGAACTCGCCCAGGGCCATGTCCTTGCCGGCGAGGGCGTCCACCGCGATAGCCGGCACTGCATACGTGTTCCCGCCAGTCACCCCCTGCAGGTTGATGATGTCCGCTTCCGCATAATGTGGCACATTGTTCTGGAAGCCAGGTGGGCAACCGGTGGCTTCTGGTTCCATGTAGTCGGCCCCGCACCCTGCAGAAGAAAAGAGGGAAGCGGACGGGACTCACCTCAACGGTTAAATGTAACAAGGCACTGGATCCACCCCCGAGGGGTGGCTGCTTTGGCAGGAAACCCAGCAGCCACGGGTAGCTCGGAGGTAGCAGCATCTCAGCTTTGGACCAGGGAACCCCACTGAACTTCCTGCCCCCAGCCTCCCATCCGTCCCCAGGAGCCGCTGCATCACAGAACCTGCAAAAGCTGAAGGTTAAACGTTGTCTGAGCAGGAGGGGGGTTAGCCATGCGGAGGATAGACAAGAGGGAGATGAAGTGGAAGGGGGCAGACATGGTGGAGGAAGAGAGATGGAGATGGACAGCAACCCCTGGTGGGGGGAAAGAGAAATTGCAGTAGGCAGAACGTCCCTAACTTGGGAGGGTGGCCACCCAGGTCCCCAGTCGCGCCACATAAGCTTGGTGACCCTTCCTTACCATTGGTGTTGATGGGTTTAACCCGGTTGGGTGGCGGGAAAGCAGGCCTTCCCATTGGCTGGGCATAAGTGGCCAGGAAGAGGTGGTAAGCCGGGTTGCTGAGCAGCAGAGCTGTCGGGAGAAGGGGAGGGCGGGTGGGTGGAGGAGACAAACGGACGGATGAGGAACAGACGGACGGATGGAGGGACGCAAACGGGAGGGAAAGGCGTGACACAGAGAAGAGGCAGCGCTTTAGGGGATTCCTGGTCCCCTTCAGGCCTCTCATCCCAAAACACAGCAGCAAAAAGACGCAGACACCAAACAACAGAGAGTATCATGATGGAAAAGTGTCGTCGTTGTCATCAGCAGTGGGGAGAGGAGGAAGGAACTCAGGGGTCTGGCCTTTCTCAGGCTCTCATGCCCTACCTTCTCTCAAAGGGTTCAAATGTTTCTGCCTCCCCCCATGTTTTCAAACCAGGAAACCAGTGGGCACATGGTCGAATGGTCATTATCCCTCACCCAACATAAACACTTCCTCACACGAAGAAAAGTAGATGTCAAGAAGAAAAACTCTAGCTAACTTGTCCCTCAGATGCTTTCTTTCTGTGTGGCAGGAATTATTTCTGTGGCAAAGCCCTGGGAGGGGGACGTGGTACCCTTACTGAAGGGCATCCAGAAGTGGCCATGGAAACAGTAGGGCTGCAGTTGCATATTGGTGTGTGGCGGACTCAGTAGCTATACTGGCGGAGTGGTGTGGTAGTTAGAATATCGGCCTCCGAGTTGTAATGCCCACTACACCATGATAATTCTCTGGAGGGAACTTGGACTGGTCACATTTCTTACCATCACTTACCTCACAGGGTTTCTGTGAGGGGAAAAGCTGGAGAAAGAAAGAACCTGAGCTCCTTAGAGAAAGGGCGGGATGAAAATTTGATAGGCGTCAAGAGGCGGGCGATGTCTTCCGGTAAGATCACTGTAGCCACCTCCGCTGATGCTCAGAGGTGGGAGTTGGAATTCTCCGTGTGACCCACTTTTTCCTTCCCCATTTCTTCCCACTGTTTAGTATCTGACATAGATATTTCTCTGAGGACCATGAAAAGGATCTTGGAATTCACCAGGCTTAGCTGAAATGTGCCTGAAGCTGACTGAGGTCTTACTTTAGGAATCCAATACTAATAAAACACATTCCAAGCTACAGACTGAAGAAAACAGTGCACTTAGAGTCCTTGGTAGACAATACCACTTCTAACGCCACAGAGTGGGTCCCATTTTTGAACACACTCCCTCTTGTAAGAGAATCCCTGAGTATAGAAAACTATCACTTCAGGGAGAAATGTAATCCTTATCCAGATATTCTAATTGGTGACCTCTCTTTATTTACATGGAGAAGCATTAAAAACATAACTCCGAAAACTGTAATGTAAAGTGGTATTCCAGTAAGATCACCGTATCCGCCTTCATGGATGCTCAGAGGTGGGAGCTGGAATTCTCCTTGTGACCTACTTTTTCCTTCCCCATTTCTCCCCATGGTTTAGTATCTGGTTTAGGTATTTCTCTGAGGGCCATGGAATTTTTTAATTAAAAGAGGACTTTACTATATGATTTTAATAGAGCCACAGATCAGCCAAGTGGTTTGGATCCAAAGAACGGCGAATGCTGTTTGCTGAACGGTGGGTATTTCCCAACTTCCCTGTCAACTGTAGTCCCTCGTGTCCCCTGAAAACCATAATGAGAGTTGGGGGGGATTCTCAGGAATCACTGCGCGGGGGGGGGGGGGGGGGCGGGTTCTGGGCTGCAGATTCTGAGGGGAACGCCTCAGACTTAATGCATCTCTCCTGCTTAAATCAGCAGAGTTGTCTTCAGCTTGTATGGATGTCAAGTGCTGTCAAGCTGCAACCAAACTATGGAGACCCCAGCAAGGAGCTTTCCAGGCAAGGGAGAAGCAGAGGTGGTTGGCCATGGCCTTGCCTCTGCAGACTGCCTTCCTTGGTGGTTTTCTACCCAAGTACTGTCCCTGTTTAGCTCCTGAGAGTGGGCCATCCCATGCTGCCTTCCCTTCCCCTTCTACTTGTAGAAGCGCTATTTTGGATGAAACACGTGCATTGGAAACTATTTCCAGAGTCCTTTAAGCATCATCAACAACTAGCTAAGCCTCCCACCCACCACCTCTGCTCCCTCTCTCCTTCCCTCCCTCGGCTCCCTCCCTCTCTCCTTCTGTTTCCTTACTAAGAATTCACAGTCCCTTAATCCCAATAACACTACTGCAATTAAAAAAACAACAACATACGACCTTTGTATTTTACAGTTAAAGGTAAAGGTAAAGGTTCCCTTGCTCGAAAGCCAGTCGAATCCGACTCTAGGGTTGCGGTGCTCATCTCCGTTTCAAAGCCGAAGAGCCAGCGCTGTCCGAAGACATTTCCGTGGTCATGTGGCCGGCATGACTAAAGACCAAGGCACACGGAACGCTGTTACCTTCCCACCGAAGTGGTACCTATTTATCTACTTGCAATTTCTTGCTTTCGAACTGCTAGGTTGGCAGGAGCTGGAACTAGAGATGGGAGCTCACTCCGTCATGCGGCAACCCGGGTCTCGAACTGCTGAACTACCGACCTTCCACAGCCTGCAGTTCAGCATCTTAACCACTTGAGCCACCGCAGCTCCATATTTTACAGTTACCTCAGTGTTAAAATTTGTACTCAGTAGCATTATTACAAATCTCACTAATGGAATTACTTATTATTTGTTGTTTGCGTTTTAAACTTATAGCAACAAAATATTCTCCTAGCAATATAACTGCGATTATTTCTATGTCCTTAAACCTTACCGTAGACGGTAATGAATGTGCTACGTGCCTTCAAAAATGTGCGAGTGTTATGTCCTATCAAGCTGCTTCTGACTCAGGGCAACCCTATGAACGAATGACCTCCAAAGTATCCTCTCGTTAACAGGTCTTGCAAACGTGGCTGTCTTATGTAAGAGAATGCCTGTGGACATACAGTTATACCTCTCGGGGAAAGTGTGTGTGTGTGTTGGGGGGGGTGTGTGTGCTGTCTCTATCATGGTGGGACCCAGGATGTTTGACAGAGTGATCGGCTAGAGGTTAATATACGGAAGGTTGAGAACCACTCGTAAGAACGTAAGAGAAGCCATGTTGGATCACTGGCCCATCCAGGCCAACACTCTGTGTCACACAGTGGCCAAAACCCAGGTGCCATCAGAAGGTCCATCAGGGGGCCAGAACTCCAGAAGCCCTTCCACTGTTGCCCCCGCCCCCAGGCAATAACAGAACTAGAGGTGCTACTGCTGCTGTTAGTTCTGTTGTTACATTGTGCTATTTATGTCTGTGGTCTTCCTGGCCCCCTGGGTTTTTTGTGTGTGTGTGTTTCTTGTGCTTTTAACCTGTATGGTTCTTAAAACAAACACATGAACTGAAGCTGGTTAGCTACCTTATGGATTTTCTTTTTAAAACTTCTCCTCCTCCTCCTCCTCCTCCTCCTCCCTATCCCCACTTATGCCGAGCTCTGGGCAATGTACATAAGGGCATAATGCCATAAAAACATATCAAACATTAAAATCCCACAGAACAGTATGATAAAACTAAAGACCCAAACAGAATCCATGATGATGGCCTCCTGGAAATTTCTACCCCAGCTCTAGAGTACTGGGACAGTTTCTGGGCAGGGGCAGAGTATAATAAATAAACTGTTAATGATGGCTTCTTCTTCTTCTTCTAACAGAAAGGGCTGTTGCTACCTAAGGTGTCTCACATTTGCTCCAGGAGCCTCAAAAAGGCACCTACGACGACATATTGCGCAAATACATTTTGCTCTCCCTCAGTTGTGGAAAGCACACCCCAAATAAATAATAATAATTTTTTAAAAACTAGATGTTTTCAGCAATGGCTTTATATGGCTCACTGCTGCAAGAAATGGTGGTGGCTACAAGCATGGACAGCTTCAAGAGGGGATTGGATAAACATACGGAGCAGAGGTCCATGAGTGGCTACTAGCCACAAGGTATAGAGGGAACAGTCAATCCTCAAAGAAATCAACCCTGACTGTTCCCTGAAAGGCCAGATACTGAAGCTGAAGCTCAAATACTTTGGCCACCAAATGAGAAGGGAGCACTCACTGGAGAAGACCCTGATGCTGGGAAAGATTGAAGGTCAAAGAAGACGGGGACGGCAAAGGATGAGATGGTTAGACAGTGTCATAGATGCAATGAACATGAAATTGAGCCAACTTCAGAGGACGGCGGAAGACAGGAGGGCCTGGCGTGATCTGGTCCATGGGGTCGCAACAACAACAATAGAGGGAACACTATGTCTGGGGCACTGAGGTTCTGTATCCTTAGTCCTCGGTGGGCAACAGTGAGAGGGTTTTTCTGGAGTTCTGGCCCCGCTGCTGGACCTCCTGATGGCACCTGGGTTTTGGCCAATGTGTGACACAGAGTGTTGGACCGGATGGGCCATTGGCCTGATCCAGCATGGCTTCTCTTATGTTCTAATACAAAAATATGAAATTGTATTATAGATTATTGTTTGTAATACAATGATACAGCTACACAGGGACGACAGGTGGTGTTTGTTATGACTCCCAAAAGCTAATGCCTCACAGACTCCTGACTCGTGCACTGTTCACTCCATCTTTAAACCTTCTGAGGGAATGAATTTTTTAAAATATTGAAAAGTTAATATTTCCTTAACCGCTTCAACAACATAAAGTAGCCACTGAGAGTTTTTCACTAAGTTAGGGAAACTGACATTCTGACCACTGAATGGATTTCATTTTTCTCCTATTCACTTTAACGGGGGTCTAAATGTCCCAGGTGCCCATGAAGGAAAAACCCTCAAATCTTAAACAAAACACAAAGGCTTGGGGGGAAAACCCTATAGGGCACTGAATCTTTTTATTATAAAAATATGAAGCAGTTGAGGAGAAAGTTTTAGAGATTTTAAACTCCTTCAGGCATAAAAGCCAGTGCAGTGTTGTGGTTAGGGTGACAGACTAAGGAGACTCAGGTTCAAATCCACACTCAGCCCTAAAAGCCCACTGGATGACCTTGAGCCAGTTACACACTTTCGGCCTAGCCCACCTCACTATACTGTTGTAAGGATAAGATGGGGATGAACCATGTATGCCACCCTCAGCTCCTTAGACAGAGGGAAGGGCAAAAATGTGGAAGATACCCAAGAGTCTGTTCTGAGCCTTTAAGAAAGGTGGGTCGATTCACCAATGAAGAGGCAGTTGATCCACTAAAACCCTTCCCTCCCTTTTGGACACCCTCCTAAATATTCAAAGCTCTTCAAGAAACTTCATGCCTCAATCATCGCTCAAGATGCTTCCCTAAGCAACCTGATTCTTTCGGCACCAAGTGGGAACATTCACATCACACGTCCCATAAACCGGGCTGCATACATCCTGAAATTCCACAAGCACGGATTTGGTACTGGGCACAGAATTCAGCATCCCAAGAATCTCCATTTCCCCTTAAAAGAGATGAAGTAGCAGCAGATTCTAGTCTTTATGATCACAAGGCTGAATGTGGAACCTTCTTGGTCAAAGGCTAAGGCAGGGATCCTGACAGACAAACTTCAGTGCTTTGCACTGCTCCACATGTACTTGGCACAGTACATTAGGAATTTGTCTTGTGTGGCATTCCCTCAGTGATCACTGAGAGCCAGTGTGGTATAGTGGTTAAGAGCAGCAGACTCTAATCTGGAGAACTGGGTTTGCTTTCCCACTCCTCCACCACATGAAGCCTGCTGGGTGACCTTGAATCAGTCACAGCTCTCTCAGAGCTCTCGCAGCCCCACCTACCTCACAGGGTGTCAGTTGTGGGGAGAGGAAGGGAAAGGAGTTTGTAAGCCACTCTGAGACTCCTTCAGGTAGTAAAAAGTGGGGTATAAAAACCAACTCTTCATCTTCTTCCTGCCTAATGTTTTAATTGGTTTTCTATGGTTTTGTATGTCTTTTAGCTCTGGATGTAATGGTTCATGGTGTCTAAGATGTGATTTTATTATGTATGCTTTCATTTGTTAGACACCTTGGTGGCCCTCATCAGGGCAGAAAGGCAGGATATACATTTCGTAAAATAACTAATGAATAAAATGCTGTCAACCAATTAGCAAACGTTTTGTAAAACTACATAATTTCCTTATGTACCACCATCTTTAAATCTGTACACAGCAAGACCTCAAGGTGGCAGAACACACCCTCTGCCATCTTGGAGAGAAAACCTGGACCCTTGAGCTCGGGCAGGGGACAGACAGCTCTAGGATCCGGCCACTAGAGCAACTCAGATTTGCTCAAGATGCGGTGTAAAATTTTCTCACGATTTCCTTTGTGAAGAAAAGGAGGAACGGTTCTTCCTAAGTATTTCATATGGCAATATATTGGTATTTCTTGCACATTTTGAAAGGGTACTTTCTACCCCATTTCCATTGCAACAGACAAGACTTCTGGACACAGGCGAGTATAAACCGAAGTAGCTATCTACCTACCTCCAAGAAACTGAGAATCTATTTTATTTCTATTTCTGTAATTCTAAAGGAACCTTGAGTATATACGAATTGAGAGACTGATTATTTTGTATGTGTGACTTTGATATTGCTTAGTAAAAAGAATATTTGTTTTGGAAAAACACCCGCGTGGTCCACATTACTGGGACTTTGGGTTCGGACACAACCCTGGTATAGCTGGCAAGAACTCACGTTAAAATTTAGCTAGCCTCAGCTGCAAATAAAGCTGTTGGCGTAACAGCCACTGCCAATCTATTTACACATGGAGGTGCCTTCTACCGAGTCTTGGTCTACCTTTGGTCTATCAAGGTCAGTCTGGTGTCCTCTCATGGACATTTGCTCTACAAGAGGAAGATCTTTCACATCACCTGAGCCTTTCAACTGGAGATGCCAAGGATCAAACTTGGGACCTTCTGCAGACAAAGCAGTGGCTCCACCACTGAGGCATGGCCTCAACTCTTACTCTTAAAGATGATATCCAAAAAACCACGTTTGCTTGTTAAACTCCCCTGGTTGGGGACCTTATAGTGGCCAAGCATCATACCTGTACGGACCCGATTGGTAGACTTTAGTGCTCTCTAAAAAAGGTAAAGGTTCCCTTGCTTGAAAGCCAGTCGAGTCCGACTCTAGGGTTGCGGTGCTCATCTCCGTTTCCAAGCTGAAGAGCCAGTGCTGTCCGAAGACGTTTCCGTGGTCATGTGGCCGGCATGACTAAACACCAAGGCGCACGGAACGCTGTTACCTTCCCACCGAAGTGGTACCTATTTATCTACTTGCAATTTCTTGCTTTCGAACTGCTAGGTTGGCAGGAGCTGGAACTAGAGACGGGAGCCCACTCCGTCATGCGGCAACTCGGGTCTCGAACTGCTGAACTACCGACCTTCCACAGCCTGCAGTTCAGCGTCTTAACCACTTGAGCCACCGCAGCTCTCTAGCCACCCACAAAAATACCAGTTTGTTCAAGCCCAAAGTCTAACATGTGGATTCATAAATGCAAAAACCAGCCATCGTTACCATCCGGACACAAATTTCTCTAGCGGTCCAACCCCACTCCCTTCCCGCCTTCTAAAGAGCCTTCCCCCTCCCCTCCCCGACTCTGTCCTGTCTCTTCCTGCCATCCCACGATCTGCCCCTCACCGGAGTTCTCAGTACTGTGGGGGAGCTCTGGCAGTTTCATGCGCGCCCTACTGGGCTCCTGGTATTCTGTCTCCCCCGAGTGGATGCGCTCATAGCGGTTGGACTGCCGGTGAGAAGAACCCATCGTGTTGTTGATGACGATGGTATCGCTGGGTGCAGAGAGCCGAACAGTGAGGTCGTCGTCCGAGATTCGGCGTTGAGCCTATGGTGTGGGGAAACAGCAATGACTCAGGTGACAAAGGCTGGTATAGAGGGCATTCCAGCCCAGACCTTCAAGTGTCAATCTACCAAACCCTATTCCAGGGGTGGCCAAACTTGCTTGACGTAAGAGCCACATAGAACAAACGTCAGATCGTCAGATGTTTGAGAGCCGCAAGACCTGTAAGACGGAGCTCTTCCGCCAGGCCTTTGGGTAGGAGCCGCCACTTTTGTACCATCATTATTAACTGGCCCTGGCAAGAGAGAGCGACAGTGCCACATGGAACTGATGGCATTGATTGGATATACCATCTTAGATAGAGATTAGATATACCATCTTAGATACGCCATCTTGATGAAAGATTTTGTTTAGAACATCTAGAGCACTTAATATGTTTTCTGTAATTTTTGTAATTTTGTAACAATGGTTTTTATGGTTTTAACTGTTTTATGTGTGGCGTATGCCTAATTGTGAGCCGCCCTGAGCCTACATTGCGGGGAGGGAGGGCTATACATTGAAATTATAAATAAATAAATAAATAAATAAATATAAGACATGAATAAATATTGCATGTTTTTACTGGGAAACATGCAAATTTGCTTTTTATTAACATTAAATGAGACTGCCAAAAATAGTAACAAAAGCAGTAAAAGCAGATATAATGATATTTATTTGTCCAGTGATAATTGTTTACGAATGATATTTAGCTTCCCCAGCCGCCCTGCCGGGAGCCACACAATGTGTGTGAAAGAGCCGCATGTGGCTCCCGAGCCACAGTTTGGCCACCCCTGCCGTATTCCTTGACCAAGAAACTTTAAATTAGTTTTTCCTGTAAGAGCCAAATTAGGAGTTGGGCTCACTGATCCTTGAGCTGTTGGGGAGTGTTGGTTGGGAAGGTGAACGGCAGCAGACTCACACGACGGCCCATCAGCCTCCTGACCTGGGAAGTCAGGTGATCCTACAGGGCCAATTTAATGCAATTTAATTCAGCCAGTTTGCTTGCAGCCCACCTACCCATGAGAAACCATCTGTCTTCAGGGCCTGACACTTCCGGTTTGGTCCCACAGACTCATCTTCCCCCTGCCTCCAACCATTTCCAGGGCTTTTTTTGTAGAAAAAGCCCAGCAGGAACTCATTAGCATAATAGGCCACACCCAACAGCAGAGATCCATTAGCATATTAGGCCACACCCCTGACAGCACAGCTCATTAGCATATTAGGCCACACCCCACATGTTACCAGAAGTGTGGTCATCTAACCACACCCACCTTTTGCTTCTTATTCTGTTTACTTTGTCGTCAAAACCCTGGGCTTTTTTTTGTAGCAGGAACTCCTTTGCATGTTAGGCCACACACCCCTAATGTAGCCAATCCTAATGAGTGTCTGCTGTTAGGTGTGGCCTATTATGCTAATGAGTCCTGCTGGGTGTGGCTAACTCAGGAGCCAGCCGGAACTCCGTTCCTGTGTGTTCCTGCCCAAAAATAGCCCTGGGAAGCCTAAATTGCTCAGTTACTTTGGGTGGTCTTCAAACTGGTGGTTACTTTGGGCGGTCTCCAAATTACAGTTCGTCAGCCACAGACATGAAGCTGCCTTATACTGAATCAGACCACTGGACCATCAAGGTCAGTCCTGTCTACTCAGACCGGCAGGTGGCTCTTCAAGTCCTCAGGCAGAGGTCCTTCACATCACCCACTGCCTGGTCCTTTTAACTGGAGACACTGGGGATTGAACCTGGGACCTTCTGCACGCCAAGCAGATGTTCTACCACTGAGCCACAGACCTTCTTTCGTAAAGAGCTCAGTAACCATGGACAAACTGCCCAGAAGACAACGCTTGTCCACCATCTTCTCCCACAACGTGCAGAAGCAAGGGGGAATCAGGCACATTCCACAGCTGCGTTCTGATCAGGCGTAGTGCCAGCAAGATCCAGGAGGCCTGGTTAGAACCCTGTGCAGGCCTAGAGGTACCCTTGTACTCAAGGTTTTGGCAGGAAAACGGGTCTGGATAAGGATCTCTGAGGACAGGAAGTTTGAAACCCACCGCCTTGAACTTGAGCACCCTTCACTCCTTCAGAAACCCTCTTCGTTCCCAGCCTCCACACACTGCATAAGCACTGTAATCTGCTATGTGGGCAAATCAGGGCCCAGACCTTGTCCTCTTCGTAAATACTTCACAGACCACAAACACAGACGCCAAATCCGAGAAGCGCTGGACATTTCATTTCCTGCCATGCACCTCCTTCTCTGGGAAAACTTAGCTTCTTTAGCTTTAAAACTTTGGCTTCTCCTGGCTTTAATCCACTAGACCTCATTCTTCTTCCCCTTTCAGAGGAATTTAGCTTCTACCCACCACAACCATCTTTCTCCCTTTCTTTTCCCCACCATCTTTTGTAGAGGCTTCAAATGCCCATTCTAGCATTGCTACCTGTCCCAGAGGACAATGTCTCAACTAGTTTCAGGTGGGTAGGCATGTTGGCCTGCATTAGATGAGCAGTATTCAAGTCCAGTAGCACTTTCACAACTAACAAAATTTCCAGGGTACAAGCTTTCAAGAGTCAAGAGTTTGCTTCATCAGATATCCGATGAAAGGCACGCAGCTTATACCCTGGAAATACTGTTGGTCTTTAAGATGCTACTAGACGTTAACTCTGCTCAACTACTTATCTTAATTCAGATCAGTACTCAGGCAGGCCATGAGAAGGGAGGGCTGGAAGGGTTGCCTCGGTGCTTAGTTCTTGTGGCCCTTTCTTACACACCCAGAGAAATGCTGATCGCCACTTTGGGGTCAGGAAGCAATTTTTTTTCTCCAGGCCAGTTTGGCTACAGATCCTGGAGGTTTTTTGTCATCTTCTGGGCATGGAACAGCAGCCACTGGGGGTGTGAAGGGGAAGGTATTTGTGAATGTCCTGCATTGTGCAGGGGGTTGGACTAGGTGACCCTGGAAGTCCCTTCAAACTCTATGATTCTGTGATTCTAATTCCCCCACTGGGTTGGAGAGGTCCTAGTGTGAGCAATAAATGGAGCAAATAATTAAAAGCTCCTTATGGAAGAGGTTGCCTGGGGTATCTCTGTATGACCTCACCTCCTTCCCATCAGCCTTTACTAAAGGCAGATCATTTAGCTTCCCCTTAGCGCGACTGGACTGCTCAGTCACCCTCATGTGCAGACACAGCAGAATCACCCCACTTCAGAAGAGGCTGCCGCCACACATCTGCCTGAGTTCCTGCTCTGGCCTTGCCTTTCATATTAGGAGGCCCTCCCAGATCAGCAGTTCACTGAAGAACATTAAAGCTGAGCTCCCCTAGAAATGGGTAACTTAGTGCACCTAAGAGCAAGATTCGAATCCAGTAGCACCTTAAAGACTAAGAAGATTTCCAGAGTAAAAACTTTTGAGAGTCAAAGCTCCCTTCATCAGACTAACACCGCCACCCACCTGAAATTAACTGTACATATGAAAAGTATAATGTTTTACAAGCAAAATTTTAATCAGGGGGGAATATAGATCAGCTTTCAAAAATGTGTCTCAGTCTCTTCAAAGATATACAAAATCTTAAGCTGCCCACTGCCAAACACTAAGGCTGCCTGAATACTGACCACTATGCAAGATAATGTTGTATACTCTCTTGTTGTAAGCTGCCCTGAGCCCTGCTTGTAGGGAAGGGCAGCCTAGACAATCCAAATTAATAGATAAAATAAACCAACAATAAAACAAACCACAGCACTCACTGCAGCATTCTCACCTTCCCCAAGAGCTTTTGCCAATACTGCCGCCAGAGAATGAGGAATATGACAACCAGCAGGAGCAGGATGATAGCCACCAGGCACCCAATCAGAATGGAGGTGTTGCTGTTATCGTCCTTTGCGATTGGCAGGCCCGACTTTGGTTCCCCGGGATTCTCCTGGTCTTAAAGGGAAAGAAACAGAGAAAAGAAGTCAGCTCCAGCATTTTGAAACAGGTAGCCTCCCCCAGAATAAGTCAGGCCCTATTGTCAGACGCATCAGCGTCTCACCTGGGAATGTGAGGTTTGAGTTGACACCAGCTTTTTCATTCAGGACGGAAACCAGGGCTGGGGAGATGGGAGTGTCACGGCCAGAGGAACGAGGATGAGCCCCAACCGGAGGTCTGCGACTTGTGGCCGAAAGAGAGGGGTCGTCCACAATTTCTGGAAGAAAATGAACAGGTGGGTGAGAATAAAAGAAGTAACGACCACAACACAGAACAGGGGAGAGAGCAAGAAAATGGCCTTTCCACACACGACTCTCCAGTCCTGGCTCACCTGAGAGAAAGGCGATTTCGCTGAAGAGCATCCACTCGCCCGCAAAGTGGAAGTGGCACTGGACGAACAAGCCCAGCCGTCCGTCCAAGGGCACCGTGAGGGAGCGGGCGCTGGGGTCCCTCACGTCCACAGCCAGTGGGTGGGAGACAGGCGTGGGCTCCCAGGCCGTGGACAGGCTGCGCTTGAAGAGACAGTCCACTTGCCGGAAGACAGTGACGCCGTGTGTGTGCATGTTGTTGCAGTGAACCTGCGGAGGTGAGGGGCAAGAACGGTGCGAAAAAAAGGGGGGAAATATGCAAATGAGTGAAAGCCTCCGAGCAAACTCATGCCTCTGCTATCCTTGTCTATGTATATTTTGAATATGGGTATGTGTAGCTTGGGAAGAGAAGACTAAGGGCAGACACAACTATGCTCTTCAAATATCTCCACGACTGCCTCATGGAAGAGGGCGATTTCTGCTCCTGCAGAAGGTATGACTAGATTTAACAGGGTTCAGTTACACAAGAGTACATCTGAAGAAGAAGAAGAAGAGAAGAGGAGATTGGATTTATACCCCACCCTTCACTACCAAAAGGTGTCACAGAGCGGCTTACAAACTCCTTTCCCTTCCCCTCCCCAAACAGACACCCTGTGAGGTAGGCGGGGCTGAGAGAGTTCTGACAGAAACGGCTCTTTTTCAAGAACAGCTGTGCCAGAGTTATGGCTTGCCCAGGGTCATCCAGCCACGTGCAAGTGGAGGAGTGGGGAATCAAACCCGGTTCTCCCAGATCAGAGTCCGCGCACTTAACCACTACACCAAACTGGCTCTCACACCAAACTGGCTATTCCTGGGGTGAGTGTATGGAGTGGGGTGAGTGTATGGAGATGGCTAGCCTGATCTCGTCAGACCTCAGAAGCTAAGCAGGGTTGGCCCTGGTTAGGACTTAGATGGGGGACCACCAAGGAAGTCCACGGCTGCTGTGCAGAGGCAGGCAACGGCAAGCCACCCCTGTTCGCCTCTTGCCCCAAGAGGGGTCACCATAAGTGGGCCGTGATCTGAGAGCCCTTTTCCACCACCGTCAGGAGAAGGTTCCTAATGGTGGAAGTAGTCTGGCAATGGGACCAGTTACCTAAAAGGGGGGGGGGTGGATGGGCTCTTCCTCACTGGAGGTCTTCAAGCCGAGGCTGGACAGCCATCGATTGGGAATCCCGCAGCTCTGGCCTGCGCTGAGCAGGGGGTAGGGCTAGATTGTCTACACGGCCCCTTCCGCCGCTAGAAATTTATTTATGACCCGCCTTGTCACTCCACTTACAATAAAACATTACCCCTGCTCAGGGCTCTAGTCGGGGGGGAGCTCTCAGGTACGGAGCTCCGGAAGAGAACCTCTAGGGGGTGGGGCGGTCACGTGGTGAAGCCCCACCCCCTTCTTTACCCCGCCCTCTGCTTCGATCCTCATTCCGTTTGGGAATGAGGATGAAGCAGGAGGGTAAGTAGCCGGGCCTTCTGACACACTTCCGGTGATGTCAGGGGGTGTGGCCTTCTGTCACTTCCGGTGATGTCAGGGGGCGTGGCATATGCAAATAAGTTATGCTAATGAGTTATGCTAATGAGCTCCGGCAGCTCTTTTTCTACAACAAGACCCCTGCCCCTGCTTCAGACCCTTGGTCCATCCAGCCCAGTGGTGTTTATTATGGTTGTGGTGATAATAATTGTGTGACGTCAAGTCGCAACTGACGCAAGGAGTTTTCAAGGCAAGAGAGGAGCAGAGGTGGCTTGACATTGCTTCCCTCTCTGTGGTAACCCTGGACTTCCTCGGTGGTCTCCCATCCAAGTCCTAACCAAGGCCGACCCTGCTTAGCTTCTGAGATCTTCTGAGATCTTCTGAGATCGGGATAGTCAGGACGATGCAAGCTGCTGCTATGACTCCAGGCTGATCTTCCGAGCAGAGCCTTTTTCTCCAGCCCTGCTCCCCGAGCTACGAAGGAGGCCTTCGGTTGGCAAATTCGGTGCTTTACACTAAGCTCTCGAGGTGTCTCTATCTCTTTTCCCCTTGACATCTGCCTTTCTCTAGAGTCTATGCACCCTCCAGGAGCAATATAACAGAAAACAACGACACAAAATAAATAAATACATTCATTTATCCGGGTTTTGTGGAATGCATCTTGTAAAATTCTGGGGGTTTTGTTTGTTTCCTATTCAAAAACATAAAGTAATACAAATTATGGCAAATGTCTGGAGTTTGGTGATTATTGGCATTTCTGTGAATACCGGCAACCCCAGAGGGATGCTTTCATGTGTCTGAAACCTCAAACTATGCAATGGTGAGCGGTGACGATCATCTAATGGGACTGTGTGATTTGTCTGGAATATGTCCAAAAACAGGGAAATATACGTATCAGCTTTCAAGTGCTCCCAGACTTATTCTGAGATTGTCAAAGCCCATATGCGGTTGTTGACATTCACCAAATTTTGGATGCTTACGTACGCTTTCTTAGCTATCAGTCCTAGAGATATCTTTCTTCCTACGCTGCAGCTATTCATTCAGATCATTTCAGTTATAGCCACATGAACCAGGCTGTGCTGGTCCCCATCTCTACATCACTTCCCCCATCCTCTCCAGCCACCATTCCTGTCTCATCAGGGTTGGTGTCTTCCACCATGGTGAGTCCATCCCTCTCGGCATCCCGTTGATGTCCTACAGATATTTCTAGAAGGACAGTGAACTATCCCCCAGTACCTTCATGTACGTGAAGGCTCTGAGGCGGTCAAATGCAAACTCCATCTCAATGAAGCCGCTGGGGAAAGAGCTGTTCTTCCATCCCACGTAGTCGTACCCTGGCCAGACACGCAACTCCTTGGTCTGGGTAAAATCATCCAGGCCCATCACTCCGTCAGTCAACTGACCAAGGCCCCCAAACTGCAACCTGGAGTTAAAGATACAGGCAGAATGACAAAAAGGAACAAGTGGAAGAAGGGAAGACTGGGAATCTGGGACATAACTCCATTACACTTTTACATTTTTCTCCTAGTTTCTCTTTGCCAAGAGTCTACTATAAAGGGTAAAATCGCCATTTTGTTTGGGACATTTCTGACAAAGCTGGGCTATAATCAATGCTCCCTCTACGCTGTGGAGTCTTGTGAGCAAAAATTCTACTTTGTGAGCTACCGGCATTAAAAGTAGTGAACAAACAAATTTGGCTACTGCATAAATTAGTTTGCTCTGGAGCCATCCTCCCTGAGCTAAGACAAAAATGTGTGAGCCGGAGGCTATAAAACTGTGAGCTCGCTCACAATAACTCACCTTAGAGGGAACAATGGCTGCAATTCACTTTTAAAAATATTTATTACACCCACTTTCCATGGAGCTCGGGCCAGTATATATGGTCCTCCCCCCCCCCCTTTAATTGTCAAAACAGCCCCAGACCTGACCTGGATAGCCCAGGCAAGCCTGATCTCATCAGATCTCGGAAGCTAAGCAGCGCCGACTCTGGCAAGTACATAGATGGGAGACCTCCAAGGAATAACCAAGACGGGATGCAGAGGCAGGCTAATGAAGCCACCTCTCTGAAAAATGTCCAAGCCCCCAGTAGGGGTCACCAGAAGTCAACCATGACTTCCAGGCAAGCACACAAACACACACACACATAAATATTAGAAAAACAGCCCTGTGAGGCGGGTTGGGCCAGTCAACTTCTCTGAGCCTAGGATCACTCACAGAGCATTTCATGGCAGAGAAGGGATCTGAAGCCACATCGCTCCAACCCTAGACTGCCTTGTTAATCACACTAGCTGATCCACCAAATGAAGAGTAATACGCTATCTGACTGTCCTAAATAGTTCTCTTTAATTTAATCAGAAGCAACTTGCAAGAAGAGTCTATCCCAAATTTCTATAAATTTATAATGCTGTTTTAATGCTCTTCTGATATATTAATTCTTATCTTTATTTCAATAGCATTGATATCTTCGATTTTATTGGACATTGTACTTCAAGCTTTTTCTATTTTTATATACACAAAGCTAGTAAGCATACACATTATGTCGAATGATTTATTGTTCACATAACTGTTTGTGCCTTGTCTTTTGTTTCCTACCGATGTATAATTTTTTTTAAAAAAAAAGAAGCATCAGTCTCCCACTCTCCACCAATGTTCCCTCTAAGCTGTGGAGTCTTGTGAGCAAAAATTCTACTTTGTGAGCTGCTGGCATTAAAGTTGTGAGCGAGCGATTTGGCTACTGCATCATTTAGTTTGCTCTGGAGCCATCCTTATTGAGCTAAGACAAAAGTGTGTGAGCCAGAGCTCACACTAACTCAGCTTAGAGGGAACACTGCTCTCCACACACAGTCCTAAACATACACCGTTATACTTTTCCCAGCACTGATCACATTTTGCCATATCGTTTCTAATTTGTTTCGGCTCGAATATTTAAGAAAAGAACTATACTTTTTCACAGTACGTTATTATTATTAATCAGTCTTAAAATCTGTTCACCTTAATGATGTGTTTTCTCTCTAGTTAACCCCCCCCCCAAGATGCTCTAACCTGGAAATAGGCGTGTCAAGGAGGATGAATGCCATTCATTTTCATCAGCAACTCAGATGAAGCAGAGGTGATCGAGTTCACACCCTCTCTCGACTCCATCTCTCTGTCTCCTTTTATATGTGAACTGAGTCAGACCATTGGTCCATCTAGTTCATGGATTCCCAGTTGCTCTCTAGGGTTTCAGAGAAAGGTCTTCCTCCACAGACTCTACCTGAGACAGCAGGGACCGAATCTGGAGGCCTTCTATATTCACGGCACGTACTTCGCCACTGCGTCTTCCCCACCCCACTATCCACCACCTCACCTTCTCGTTATCTGCCACTATACGCCATCCAACTTTGGATCTCTCTTCTGTTAATGCTGTTATCTCTCAGATAATTTTCCAATCCTCATCTCATTCATTCCGCTCAACAGGTGTAACACAGACTATGATCAATGCTCCCTCTAAGCTGTGGAGTCTTGTGAGCAAAAATTCTACTTTGTGAGCGACTGGCCTTAAAGTTGTGAGTGAGTGGTTTGCCTACTGCATAAATTAGTTTGCTTTGGGGGCATCCTTTCTGAGCTAAGACCAAAATGTGTGAGCCGGAGGCTGAAAAACTGTGAGCTAGCTCACAGTAACTCAGCTTAGAGGGAACACTGACCATGATCATACAGAGGGGGTCACTGAGGCTGAGAGACGGTGATGTGCCCAAAATGATCCAATCCATTTGGGGGGGGTTGAACTCAAGAAGACGTCACACTCAGCCATTTGTCCAGTACACAAGACTCCATATCCAGCACTCTGTCCAGTACACACCAGAAGACCGCCTTGCCACTGTCTTTGGGTGGACTCACACAACCTCGGGGACTTTGGCCCTCTGATGATACATTTGACTGTGCAAACGTCAGACCAGGGTCAAGAGAACAGACACAACATCTAGTTTGGACCTGCCTGACAGCCCGACTTCAAGGAGGATTCATACAACCTGACTGTAGCACAATTCGCATGACAATAATCTGCCCACACGGGAGTTTTCTTCCATTTGACCAGGACGATGAAAACTTTACAGAAGCAGGTTACTGTGTGATAACTACACTCCACAGTCAATGGAACGAAGCTAAACATTCAAGCACGGTCTATCACAATTCAGGGCCGTCCAGGCCCCAGAATGCAAAAACAGGTGGGGATGGTTCACTCACTCACTTGTTGACACTGTGGCCATCGTAAGAGGAGTCGTTCAGGTAGGCGGGTTCTGGGACTAGCGGCATAATCTGGCCCAGAGGGGCCGTATAAGACTGAAGGCCATCTGTGGGAAGAGACAGAGGACTTAAGGTACTCAAACTGGTGGTCTTCCTCTGGAAGGCCTCACAAAGCACAATAAATGCTAACAATCTGGGAGTATGCAAAGCAAGCACAAAGGAAATGAAATATTAAGTACATGGTAGGTGTAGTGTAGCTACTAAGAGCACGGAGTCCCAAGTTTGAATCTTGCCTCAGCTGTGAACTTGCTAAATGGCTCAGTTCGGACCCCATGTCACATTATGGTTAAGGAAGCTGAAAAGATAAGCCGTTTCCAGGGCTTTTTTTTGGGGAGGGGGACTTCATTTCCCTCTTGAGAGTTCCAGCACCTCCCCCCCCCCAAAAAAAGCCCTGCATTTATCTGTTATATTTATATCTTGACTTTGTTAATAAGAACATAAGAACATAAGAGATGCCAATGTTGGATCAGGCCAAAGGCCCATCCAGTCCAACACTCTGTATCACACAGTGGCCAGAAATACCAGGTGCCATCGGGAGGTCCACCAGTGGGGCCAGGACATTAGAAGCCCTCCCACTGTTGACCCCCCCCCAAGCACCAAGAAGACAGAGCATCACTTGCCCCAGAGTCCCTATCAATACCTTGTGGCTAATAGCCACTGATGGACCTCTGCTCCATATGCTTATCTAATTCCCTTTTGAAGCCGTCCATGCTTGTAGCCACCACCACCTCCTGTGGCAGTGAATTCCATGTGTTAATCACTCTTTGGGTGAAGAAGGACTTCCTTTTATCCGTTCTAACCCGACCGCTCGGCAATTTCATGGAGTGCCCACGAGTTCTTGTATTGTGAGAAAGGGAGAAAAGTACCTCTTTCTCTACCTGCTCTTTCCCGTGCATAATCTTATAAACCTCAATCATGTCATCCAGTTTGTTCAACTACAGAACTCCAGAAAGATTCAGGTGAGTAGCCATGTTGGTCTGAAGCAACAGAATAAAGTTTGAGTCCAGTGGCACCTTTAAGACCAAGAAAGTTTTCTTCTGGGTATAAGTATCTGATGAAGTGTGCATGCACATGAAAGCTCATACCCAGAACTCAAGACAGAGTGTGTCGGTTCCTAGGAGGTCTCCCATTCATGTACTTAACCAGACGGAGACCTGCTTAGTTTCATTAAGGTTGCTGACTCACATATGCCCTCACACCACTTCCTCATCTAGCATTGTGTGATAAACTGGCAAGCCAGATTCAGAAACACATGATTTCAAGCATCTGTGCAAAACTGTGGTTTAGTGTGATCTGTGAATTTACACATTTATAGCGACCAGAGGCCTGTCATGGAAAAAAACGAAGGGCTTAGGAGACTGAAAATGAAAACAGACATCAGGTCAAAGCCCAGGGTCTGCTTGCATGCCTGGTTTGGGTTATAAACACGGGTTAGCAGAAACCATGGTTTCGCATGACATCTGAACTGCACTACCGGTGGCTTCGATCTGATATAAATTGCCTTATAACAAGTCAGATCATTGATCCATCTGCCTCTTCTGATCGGCAGCCTCTCTCCGGGAGCTCAGGCAAAGAAAGGTTTTCCTCAGTCCTGCCACTTGAGACCCTTTAAACTGGGGACTGAACCTGAGACATTTAAGTCTGAGACATCTTCAGGTACTTGAAGGGCTGTCATATAGAGGATGGTGCAGAGTTGTTTTCTGTTGCACCAGAAGGTCGGACCAGAACCAACGGGTTGAAATTAAATCGGCTAAACTTCCTGACAGTTAGAGCAGTTCCTCAGTGGAACAGGCTTCCTTGGGAGGTGGCAGGCTCTCTTTCTTTGGGGTTTTGAAGTAGAGGCTAGAGGGCCATCTGACAGCAATGCTGATTCTGTGAACTTGGGCAGATCATGAGAGGGTGGACAGGAAGGGTTGCATCAGTGCTTAGTTCTCGTGGCCCTTTCTTACACGCCCAGGGAAATGATGATTGCCACTTTGGGGTCAGGAGGCAATTTCTCCAAGCCAATTTGGCCATGGATTCTGGTGCTTTTTGGGAGGTTTTGTCATCTTCTGGACATGGAGGAAGGGTCACTGGGTGTGTGTGTGTGGGGGGTATTTGTGAATTTTCTGCATTGCGCAGGGGGTTGGACTAGATGACTCTGCCGGCCCCTTCAAACTTGAGGATTCTATGATTCTAACGTGATGCTTAAGCTGTGCCACAAATCTGCACAATACGATCTGGAACTGTCACAACACTCCCTGATTAAGGACTGATTCCTAAACATATGCTTATCACTCAGTTACAACATCATCAGTAGGTAACTTGCATGCATCCCCTGAATCTCAGAAGCATCGGTTAACCCAATCCATCTGCGAGTCATCCAGTGGTCACTCGATGAATGCACACATATGAATCAGCCTTAAAGTTACAAGTCATGGAACATGGTAAGGGGTGCTGAAAAACAATCTCACGTGGGGACAGTTATTTATTTATACACAAGGGATCGGCTACCCGTGCAAACGGGAGAGTCAAAAAGAGAGAGGAAAGAGCCGAAAGGCAGTGGCCTGAAGGAGGGTGTAAGCGCTGACTTCCTAACCTTTCCAGACACAGCCATACAGCTCCACACGCAGGCAGACGCTCATGACACGGTCGGCGCGGGGGTAGAAGCGGACATAACGAGCGATGATTGGCGGGCCCAGATCTTTCAGGACCACATCCTCTGTATTTTCATTACCAGAAATCACCTGAGGGGAGAGAGTGGTCAGAGGAAATTACTTCTTTGGTATTTCCTAAGAACCCAGGAGGACGGGGGGAAGTTCTGATGCTGATCAAAGTCGTGCCAGAGTAGTGATCTGCGCTTTTTCAGGCTTGCCTTTGGGGAAAGGTATGAATGATCAACCTGGCTCCCTATGAGAAACCCTGCTTATTAAGTCCTAGGTAGGGTTGTCAACCTCCAGGTGGTCCATCAACACAAAGAAACACTGGGATGAGACTGACAATAACGTTTAATTCCTATGAACATCAATAAAAAAACTTTTGCAATATAGCTCAGGATAATTTGAAAAAGAAGTTAACCTGCAATAATTTTAAGGAAGTGAAAAAATAAGTTAATGCTGCTACTATTTGAAGGAAGCAAAAGAAGTAGCTAAACTGTATCAAGAGGCTGACACCTTCTAGCATAACAGGACTACTCCTGAGGAAGATTGTTGAGATGAGTATAAAACCGGGTGCTCATAGAGGATTGTTGGACTTTTTCTTGAATATGTTAGAATTTCCTGAGCTATATCGCAAACGTTTTTGCTGATGTTCGTAAGAATTAAATGTTATTGCCAATCTCATCACAGGGTTTCTTTGTGTTGATGTATTTCCTGTACTGTGGTCCCTTCTTTGGTTTTCTCAACCTCCAGGTGGTGGCTGGAGATCTCCTGGACTTACAACTGGTCTCCAGATGACAGAGATCAGCTCATCTGGACAAAAATGGCCGCTTTGGAAGGTGGACTCTATGGCTTGATACCCCATTGAAACACCTTCCACCAATGATCCCTCTAAGCTGTGGAGTCTCATGAGCAAAAATTCTACTTTGTGAGCTCCTGGCATTAAAGTTGTGAGCGAGCCATTTGGCTGCTGCATAAATTAGTTCGCTCTGGAGCCCACCTCCCTGAGCTGAGACAAAAATGTGTGAGCCGGAGGCTACAAAACTGTGAGCTAGCTCACACTAACTCAGCTTAGAGAGAACACTGCTCCCCACCCCCAAACCCACCCTCCTCAGGCTCCACCCTCCAAATCTCCTCATATTTCCCAACCCGGAGCTGGCAACCCTAGTCACAGGGCCAAAGAATTTCTCACACCGAGTCTGTGTTTGGATCTCCTGATGTTTTTAAATTTTTACTTAAAAGTCACCACGGGAGACTCCAAGTTTGATCAAAAGTCCCTATATTTCTCCAGGGAACTGGAAAAGCAGCCGCCTGGGGGAGGAGGGCAGATTCAATATCAGGAAAGCACCACAAGGGGAGAAGGTTACATCCCATGATGTCACACGCCCACTCAGAGAGCCCCACCAGGGCCTCATTAAATATAAGATAAACATTTGTTAAAAATTAAAATAAAGTTAAATTAAATTAAAAATAAAGATTTCCGTAAATACCCAGGAAAGTATCAGTTTTAACCACCAGTGACATCACAACCAGGTCTAGCATCACATCCTGTGAGCTACATTCCTGCAGATTATATTTAGATATTTAAAACAGTTATTATCCACCTAAGCTGGGATAGGGTGATTAATAAATCAAATTAATCATCATCATCTACCTTATTGTACTCGACTTACAACACATGCAGAAAAAGCATAAAAATGCATAAAACACATTAAAAACCCACACATTAAAATCACAATAAATAGAAAGAACTAAACTAATTCCTCAAATCATGAAAATTCTGATGACTCCCACCCCACCACGATTTCCACTGGGCTGTTTCTCACTATGCATATTCAGCTCTGCCCTTTGCTCACCTCGTTGCCCCACCGGTCACGCCAGGGCATCCAGCGGTGCCCGTCGCGGCTGTAATGGAGCCGGTATGTGCGAGCAAACTCCTTGCCGTGGCCACTTGCATGACGGCCCTGCGTCCCCACCAAGGTCAAGAAGTGTAGCTGACTCAGGTCGATCTCCAGGTACTCAGCATCATTAGGGTAGACGGGACCTGCTGGGCACCACGCCCCATCCCCCTCACTCAACCCTAGCCTGTAACAACAAGCAAGAGGGAAGTGTTACTGGACCATTTTTAATTAGTGTCCATAAGTGGCCTACTGTGGAAGTTGTTACTTTCACAAGGGGAAAAAATCATCTTCAAGCTTCTCTTGTACTATTCAACATCTGATCACTCATCATGAAGGAAAAGCTGCAGTGAGATATTTGTAATGCAAATGAGCATGCTGTTCAGTGCTGGCTGAAGCCTTTGTGTTCCAAACCTGACAGAGCTTCTTTAAGCCCTGCATATTAAAATTATTCACGGTTGGTTCATTATGGGCACTTTAGCAACCAGATGCTAAAACTCATATGCATAGATGGAGTGGTTACGATCTACAAATGCAAGCAAGGGAAGTTAAAACTGCATGCAAGAAGAAGGGCTGAGCATCTGCACACGTATAGTGCACCTGCAGAAATCAATACTGGGTACACAATGGGTTTACATTTTGTAAAGAAGACTGCAGTGATATTCTGAAGACTGAGTCGGAGATGAATAAAGAAACTACTGAAGCCATGTGTGTGTGATCTGAAGATTACCAACTCTCAAGGAGTGGTGACAGTGTCATCCATAACTCTATGCTCACTCCATGACTAGAGGAAAAGCAACATAAAGTATGCAAAGATATGCAAACTGTACATGCAAATTAAACTGAATGGCAACATATTTATTTACAACACTCATACCCCACCTTTCAGACCTCATAAGGTACATCAAGGCGGTTAACAAATTAAAATAAAAAATAAATTATATATATATATATCTGAAAATCACAGCTTAAAAACCATTACAACCAACAACAAAAAAATCATTAAAACAATTACAACCAGAGGTAAAATATACATACAAAAGTATAAAAACAATTAAATCATTGGGCAGGAAGAAGGGCTTCCTGAAGTAATGCCAAATGAAATGACAAAAGCCGTCGCCCACTGACAGAAGATGACAACAGAAGGGGACACAAATCTCCCTGAGGAGAGAGTTTCAGAGTTTTGGTGCCATGACCAAGAAGGCCCTCTCCTGAGTTGCCACCCGCCAAATCTCAGAATGCAGGGATATGCGAAGCAGAGCCTCAGAAGATGATTGCGGTGGTCGGGTAGGTTCATAGGTGGTCCTTCAGGTATGCTGGCCCCCCAAATCATACAGGGCTTTAAAGGTCAACACCAGCACCTTGAATTGTGCCCAGATAGGGAATCCATGTAAACAGGCCAAGATTGGAGTGATATGGTCCCTAGGTCCCTTTTGCACCAGCTGAAGTTTCTGTGCACTGCTCAAGGGTAGAAGAAGAAGAAGAAGAGATTGGATTTATACCCCGCCCTTCACTACCCAAAGGTGTCTCAGAGCGGCTTACAAACTCCTTTCCCCCTCCCCACAACAGACACCCTGTGAGGGTAGGAAAGGGTAGGGATGTGCATTCAGTTCGTCCGAACCAAATGCACCCTCGAAAATGGCCCATTCGGACCCCTTTTGGGCTGCTGCAGGCCGATTCAGATTCTCTGATCTGAATCACTTGCTGCCGAATTGCTGCCTAATTTCGGTGGCAATTCGGCCCCATTATATCCTATGGGCCATTGAAGTCAATGGCGAAAACATAGGGTATATTCTGGGGGCTGGAGGGGAAGGGGTTTGAGGGAGAGACTCCAAACTTGCAGGGTAGCTGCTGGAGCCTTTCCCCAAGATACCAACCAAGTTTGAAGAACATTGGACCAGCCCCCCCAAACAGGTTGCCCCTATCCCCTCCATTGTTCTCTATGGTGGGAAAAAAGTAATGTTTTCCCATCATAGAGAACAATGGAGGGGATAGGGGCAACCTGTTTGGGCGGCTGTAGAATTGGACCCCCTGGTTCAATGCTCTTGAAACTTTGTTGGCCTCTTGGAAAGAGGCTCCAGCAGCTAGACTGTGAGTTTGGAGTCTCTCCCTCAAGCCCCCTCTCCTCCAGCTCCCAGAATATACCCTATGTTTTCGCCATTTTCAATGGCCCATAGGATATAATGGGGCTGAAACTGACATTCAGCTGGCCAAATTCGCTGGTACTGACGAAACTGACATGCGGGAGTCTTACTGCCAGCAGAAATTGATTCTGCCCGATTTGGACGAATCCGAATGGGCCGAATTTTTTTTTTTTTGCACACCCCTACTCAAGGGCAGCCCCACAGAGAGTGCTTTGCAACAGTGTAATCTAGATGTTATCAGGGCATGCACCAGAGGGGCCATATCTTTTCAGTCCAGGAAAGGCAACAGCTGGCTAACCAATCAAAGCTCGTAAAAGGCACTCCTGGCCACAGCTGCCACCTGCTTATCCAGCAGTGAGTCTGGGTCCAAGAGCACCCCCAGACTATGGACTTGTTCCTTCAAGGGCAGTGCATCGATATGTCATTTTTTTAAAAAAAACATTTTTAACATTGGATAGAGAAAGACACGGGCGGCCAATTGTGGTGCAGTTCAAAGGTCATCCTCACCGGCTGTGTTTTGCAGCAGTCGAGTCAGACCATGCACTGGAAGCCGAGAGGGCATCATCTGGGATGGTGCGGTCTTGCATGCCCAAAGCATAGCGGCACTTGGCTGTAAGGAGGAGGGGGAGAAGGAGAGATTGAAGAGCATCTTCTGAAGTTAAGATGGCCCCTTCCCCCATCATCCCCATATGCATATTCAAGAACTTTCCCCCATGTGAATAGTAACAATAATAACAACAATCACAATTGTAATCAAAATCATCATCACCATCATCAGTTTAGCCCCAGCTACATACTCAGGAGTTGCGCACAAAAACGAATCTACTCAATTTGGCAAAAACAAAATTAAAAAGGGGTGAGGGGAGAACCCAACATGGAAAGAAAAATCATTTTGGGTTGCCACAGAAAGCCAAAATGGCACCCAGAGGAGAAGACTGGAGGAAGAAAACTGGAGAGGGGGGAGAGGGAGGGAGGGAAGGAGGGGGGAGGGAAAGTGGAGTCAACCAGGGAGGTGGGGGAGCCAGGGATGGCGGGGGAAGGAAAGTCAGTGAGGGAAGGAAGCTGGGGGAACAGCATGGGAGAATGGAGCTGGACTTGGAAGTGGGGGGGGGGATGGCAGGGATTTCCTTCCCCTGCAAGTCTGAGCGGATCTCACTCTTGTCTCTCTGTGATGGTACTAATGCTGTTCTCTTGGCCCGATCCAACAAAAACTAGTGAGTCGCAGCTTAATCACATCAAAATCTGTGAGGAAAGTTTGTCTCAACTAACATTAAGCCACACTGCTTTCGACCCGGACTACCTTTCAGCTGGACCGAGGCCACTGTCTGGGCGACCATTTCCAACTCCCGGTCTCCCTTCCAGACCCCTGCCGCTTGCAGGGCCCAGTGATGGCCTATAGCCACCGTGTCCTTAATGCACAAAACAGAGAGAGCCCAACAAAATGTGGTGGAGAATTCACGGCCACCATGTGCTCACCATCACCATTTAGTAGTGATTTTCAAACGCTGGAAGTGGTGTGGAGTTCTCCTCACTCCCATGCCCTTTCAACTGCCAAAACAGCCACTGTGCAGGTGTGCAGGCCCGAAAAGGAAGAGATCTGGGTTGCAGGCCCTATCAGGGATTGAGCCCTCAGTGATGGTGAAGTTTAAAATGGTGACGGTGAACTCGTGGCAGCCAAGAGTTCTCTGTCACATTTAATTTTGGCTCACAGAAGGTGGGTCAAGTACCAGCACCTACTCGTGGCGCCTGCAGGGACAGCCCTGCTATCTAGGCAAATGCCCAGGGTGCTGAAAATCCCAGAGGCACTTACTTCAGCTCTGTAAAACTGTTGGTAAGAAAGCTTTTGTTTACCCTTCTAGGGCCCAAGCTAAACATTCTGCTACAGATCCACAATGAGGATCTCTCACTTTTAAAGACAAGCTAACAAGCAGACCTCCCCCACCCCCCGGCCTTCTACTCCCTCACCCTAACCCGCTTCTCAAAGCTTTAATTTGCTCCCCAGGATGAAAAAGGTAGGCATAAGGACTGTGTGTCTGTCATCTCCTTCCCAGGGAGCTAACAGGAGCTTCAGAGGTGGGGTGTGGACATTTAAATAACAGAAGAGGCATGAAAACCTTAAAACACTGTGGCCTCCTGGAACCTTTTTCCATCTTCAAAGCAGCAAAGTGGGCTACCTTTTTAAAATCTACTTGGGAGAGCCTATAGAAGGATCCTCCCATTTCATCGGCCCTTTTATTTTTCTTGCACGCCGAGGAACTAGGGTTGTCACCTCCAGGTTGGGAAATTCCTGGAGATTTGGGGGTGGAGCCTAGTAAGGGAGTGGTTTGGGGAGGGGAGGGGCTTCAGTGGGGTATAATTAGGGTTGCCAACCTCCAGGTGGCACCTCAAGATCTTCTGCTATTACAATTGATCTCCAGGTGACCAAAATCAGCTCCCCTGGAGAAAATGGCTGCTTTGGAGGGTGGATTCTGTGGCATTACTGTAGGAATGAGCGACTCCGCATGCCTGGGGATTGGGGGGGGGGCATGCTACATCACTCTCTAAGTGTGCAGAGGTGTTATCTCCTTGAATGGGATGCCTCTCTTTGTCTTAACCTGGGAGCTGCTCTTTGACCCCCTCCTCTCTCTCTCACCACACACAGCTTTCCATGGAGATACATGTCTCTACAGGTCTCTCCTGTAGAAACAATACCTTCATACTCCCACACACATGATGCCGGACAAGTTGGCCAATTTGTGACAGGGAAAGTACTCTTTAGATTAGGCTTCTTTATCATCTTTCAGCCGCAACCTGAATGTGAACTGGATCTATCTGAATGTTTTAAGTTTACCTTTTTTTATCATGCTTCTATGACTGGGCAAAACTCTGCTATATAAAGCAAATATCCCAAGAATTACACTCCTGCTGAGGTTCTTCTGGTCCCCAAATCCCACCCTCCCCAAGCTCTAGTTTGGTGTAGTGGTTAAGTGCGCGGACTCTAATCTGGGAGAACCGGGTTTGATTCCCGACTCCTCCACTTGCACCTGCTGGATGACCTTGGGAAAGTCATAGTTCTGGCACACCTGTCCTTGAAAAGGAGCAGTTTCTGTCAGAGCTCTCTCAGCCCCACGTACCTCACAGGGTGTCTGTTGTGGGGAGGGGAAGGGAAAGGAGTTTGTAAGCCGTTCTGAGACTCCTTTGGGTAGTGAAGGGGGGGTATAAATCCATCCTCCTCCTCCTCCTCCTCTTCTCTACCCCCAAATCTCCAGGGATTTCCCAACTTGGAGTTGGTAACCCTAGTATTCTCCTTTTCCTCCCCTAAGTTATGTCTTCTCCTGCATTGCCAGCCATCCTTCTATATCCTTTCGTAAATGCCAATATCTGCTTTCTCTCCACAAGAATTGCCTGGGTGGATCAGAACAAAGTCCATTTTGGCCAGCAGTCAGGTGCCTCTCCTCACAACCAGGCCCTGAACACAAATGGGCAACCTTTGTACCAAGGACTTGGTAATCAGGGATATAACTGCTGCACAAAGCTAAGAGCCACTGACACCCTTGTCCTACCTGTATTTATCAAATCCCCTTGTCAAGCCACCCAAGTCTCAATTTAAGGTGAATCTGTGAGGCAAAAGAGCTTCCCTCTTTGACTCTGCACTGGTTCAGAATCTCATTTAAACTGTGCCGTGAACAACCAGGGCAAAGCAGTGATGGGGGGATTAGTTAGCACGCCAGCCGGTGTTATCTCTGCAATGTCTCCAGGCCTCCGGCATGCAAACAAAGAATGCGTATCTTCTTTGCACGGGCGCAGTTTAAACATGCTGCTGAGCCTGACCAAAGTTACACAAGGTAGCTCTTTGTCTTGCCAGCCTTGTGTTTCAATTAGGCCTTAGACCTGAGATACTTTCGTACAGGGTGCATTTCACATCTCCCCTGTGGAAAAAAAATCATTTTTTAATCAGCAGGGAGTCTTTACACGCTTTAGAAGTGTGGCTTTCTCCTTCTGTCTTAAGTGATAAAGCCCAGTCGACTACCTCAGCATTCTAACAACTCAGTCTGCTGCGTTGTCTAAACCGCTGGCCACAAACATGTCTTGTGGAAGGAAATTCTGTCATTAAACACAGAGCAAAACACTTCCTTCTGCCAGACCCGAGCCTATTGCCAGTCAGTTTCAGTGAGTGATTCCAAATTCTACTACAGGGAGCACATTTTTCCTGCCTCTCAGTGTTTTATAAAGTTCTATCAAAAAAGGGAGAGACATATCTTACACACAGGACATGACTATCTAGTCTGACTCGTATATGGTCCCCATTGGTTGTACACCTTGATCTCTATTTACAGGGGTCATTTCATAGAAAAAGAGCTAGGGGAACTCATTAGCATAACTCATTAGCACATGCCACACCCCCTGACATCATAAGGCCCGGCAGTGGACCTGCAAGGAGTGCGAGGAAGCCCCGCCAAGGCCCTCCCTGGCCCCAGGCAGGCAGGGGTGGGGAGAGGCGGGGAGGAAGCAACTTACCCTCCCTCTTCTCCTGCCTCCTCCTGGCTGAATGAGGGCCGGAAGCAGGGCGGCTGGAAGCAGGGGGTGGGGCTTCGTTGTGTGCCCCGCCCCTCACCCGGGGGAACTGCGATCCCCCCCGAATCGACCTCTGCCTATTTATTTCATTAATTCCTGGTCCCCTTCAATACATTAACGAAGCTGACTTTGAAACTTTGGGGGAGGGAGGGAGGGAGGGGGCAGACAGAAGTGTCAAAACGTTCCTTTAAATTCTGCAAACCAAAGAACTAAGTTTCAGCATATTACACCTTCTTTAAAAACAATCGAATGTCATTTTCTTAAACCTGTTATGCATTGAGTTTCTTTTCACCTCCTTGGTTTTCACAGATTAGTAAATGGGGTCAGGTGGCAAAATGTTGTAACAGGTGAGACTGGTCTAAAGCTGACATGATTAAGATTTTGGCCAACATTCAGAAAACTTATTAGGAAATATATTTGTTCCGGAGTGGAATTACTAGAAAAGGTGAGAAGGGCTTTTAAATAATCCTTCTGAAACTACCTTTTCTTTCCATCTTATTAGACTTTGTTTTTCCCAGGCCTTCTGCCAGTTTGTTGATTCCTCTGTTTCCCCCCCCTTTCTCGGTAGCTTCTGTGCCAATTTATTTTCATTTTTGGAGTTAAAATGCTTTTTGCTGGTTTGTGTTTTAAGGCATGTCCATATTAATGTTTCACAATCCCTCTGATTATATTGCTGCTGCTATTTTTTACTAGGCACGCTGTTACCTTCTGATCAGAGGTCATTTCGGGGGGGAACGCGGGGGAACGCAGTTCCCCCGGGTGAGGTGCAGGGGGGCGGGGCACATGACGAAGCCCCGCCCCCTGCTTCCGGCCGCCCCACTTCCAGCCCTCATTCAGCCAGGAGGAGGCAGGAGAAGAGGGAGGGTAAGTTGCTTCCTCCCTGCCTTTCCCCACCCCTGCCTGCCTGGGGCCAGGGAGGGCCATGGCAGGGCTTCCTCGCATGCCCGCTGGCCTTGCAGGTCCACCGCCGGGCCCCTGATGTCAGGGGGTGTGGCATATGCTAATGAGTTATGCTAATGAGTTCCCCTAGCTCTTTTTCTACGAAATGACCCCTGC